TATCTGAGTCATCGAACAACAACATCCTCCACATGCATTTGCAACTTCTCTCACCCACTCTTCTTTTTTTTTTTTTCCACACACACACACACACACACACACACACACACACACACACACACACACACACACACACACACACACACACACACACACACACACACACACAGTGCCCTTACCATTGCAGTACAGTCCTCCGAGCAGCTGGCCAGGATGTTGTCGTCATGAGGGCACCAGTCGATATCGAGGACAGGTCCAGAGTGGCCAATCACCAGGGGGTAGTTCTTATCTACACGACCTGTCTGCAACACACAGCCGCAGTGACACGCAGGACTGAGTTAGAACTTTAAAATAAAAGTAAAAAACAGAAGAGAGCATTTGTCTGCAGGTCAAAATATACCTAGAAATGTAAGTTTAAACCAGGCAAGAAATGTAACCGTTGTTTCAACATCAGTTAAATGACTTTATTTCAGTGTGAGACAGGTCCAAATAGTAGTTGACAAAACAACCCCAGTCTAGTCCATTTAGTAGCTGTTCTTCCTCAGTGGACACAGCTTGCTTACCTGTAGTTCTCATAAAATTGTAAATGTTTGAATTTGTCTTTCATTTTGAGTATTTTTTTATTTTCTAGTCCAAATGGACCCGGTGAGATTGCTTTGCTAAACTACTATTTGAAAAAGATCAAGAATAAACTTTCAATCTCAACTTTTTAAGCCAACACGGACAAAAAAATGACCTTGTGGTGTGATTATTGATCCAAACTTCTTGCTGAAATAGAGTCACTGAAATGCTGTTGAAACAACTGTGGATTTATCTTTAGTTAGTGGCTCACAGGGTAAAAAGAATTGCTGCTAGGTCCCTATTGACCCCCAACCTCTATTCCCCTGTGCACTGAGTTAGTACCCTTTCACATCCAAGTTCCCATTAAGTGCACACAGCAGACTATAAAGTACATGGCAGGTTGGAGAGCACAGTATAAACACAAAGAAATATTAAAAGTGATGGTTTGACGCAGGGTCAGGACACTACAAGATGAATACGGGATCCATATTAGTAGGTATTGTACTAGTGGTACCCTGTTTTTGGGCCCTGGACAAGTTGCCCACTTTGGCCAGTTCATAATCAAGCCTTGGAAACATTTTCAGTTCAATATCGTAACAGGGTTACCAATGTGAATGTTATGGTAGGACTGATTCTAGAGTCTGCTTGTATCAGAGCAGATTCATTTCCTGACAGTTCAGGACACTGCAATAAGACAGGTCAGCCAATGTTTCTACCCCGACTTTGCGGAAACTGATGACCAAGGTCCAGTGTTTCGTCTAAAAGGATCTCTGATGTACATCAAATGTGTCAGTCAAAACCTTCAACATACAACCAAAACCTAAAAATAAAAAAAACTTTATGATGGACTTCCAGAGAAAAGACAAAACCCGACATTTTAATATGACACAAACTAAAATGTCACTACCAGGTTATTCCATGTTTCCCTGTTCCTATCGTGTGAACATGTGTATCAACTTTTGAGATATCACTCCCCCCGCACACACACAACACACACCCCAAGAGAGGTGTATTTATAGCTGAGCGACGAGGCGTTGAAAGGGGAGTTTTTCTTGTGGCCTGTTGGGGACCCGGAGGGGGGAGATGGAGGATGGCGAGCACGTTGGTGAGTATTAATAGCATGTTTGTTCACCATGACTCCAGTATATAATCACATCCATTTCCCCATGTCTCCAAATGACTTCATGTTACTCTCTTCTTGCTCTTGGTCACTAATTACCACTGCTGACATGCTGATGAATCTCAGCAGAGATGACCTTACATGCATGAAATTTCTAAAATTTAAAAATTATTGAATTTAAAATTGTTAATTGCACTCTTTATAGTCTATTTATGACAACACCACAATTTTCATGTGGGTTAAAGTTGTTTAAAACATAAAAATGAAAGGCTCCAGATACAAATATTTTAAAAGAATTTTCAGTTCTCGTAATGTTGGACAGTGATTGGCACTTGGTGTCAGCAGCCGGCTTAAATGAAACCTGCTGAGTGGAGGCATCTCACAGGGCAACTAAATTGCTGTCGACTTGGCTGATTACAGCAGCGTCAGTAGTTATTTGGAGAGTTACGCCAAGAGCTGTCAGCTGCAGCTAACCTGACAGACTGAAACTGCCAACTAAAATTAATAGATTTCTGAACATGTAATAACTAAAACCTTTACTGCAATATTATTGAATAAACTTCAGCAGTTAACTGTGGATGTTATTATCATATCAAAACAAAATACAGCTTTTTATCTATGTTAGCCTCTAAAATGCATAAAATATGATAGACAGTAACCGTAGAGAGAAACTGGATTAGCCGACACAAGTTTAGTTTTGTCTCTCTGATCACCATCGTTTATTTTAAGGCGATGTTGTTATCATCACGAGGCTTCACACCACAGAGAAGCATCGCAGCTTTAAACGTCTGATCTCTCTTGACCTGTTGCTTTTCCTGTCGCTGTATTTCTGTTTAAGCAATTATGGTGTCCTTCCCAAGGCTTCCCAAACATGACATGACATGGGAATTGTTGGGTCCCTGTAAATAATTTTATAAGGTAGGTATACGGTCTAGACTTGCTCTATATGTTAAGCGTCTTGAGATAACTAACAGAACTGACAGCTGGAGTCAAATATATCCTCTTTAGAACTATAGAAGGAAAAACATACTAAAAACAAGCTAAAAATATTATATGCCTTTACCATTCTTAAAACTTTACAAGCTATTCTAACCGTGGTACTGTTGATACCATGGCTTGGCATTGATCAGCTTTGAAAAGCTGCTTGTTTTCTGTCTTCCTGTGAACTTAAGAATTAAACATACCTTATATGACCAACCTCAGAGGATGAGACATAAGTTTTTCTGTGTATTTTAAATACCTGGGGTCACAAGAATTATTTGACCCCAGTACAGAGCTGCTTGCCAAAGGCTTTGGGAGTCATTTTCTTCACCCTCCCTATTACAGCCTGCTGATCATGTCATGCAACTCTGATTCTGTTATAGCTACTTACAGCTAAACATTACAGAATGTCGAGCCTATAAACAGGACTAATGCTTAGTCAAGAAATCTGAAACCACCTCTGGCCAATGTGCATCAACAATACTGAGAAATGTCACTGCTTTATTGGGTGGATATCATATGGTAGAACCCTAATTTTGGAACTTCAACAGAACAATACACAGAGATACAAAGATCTGGTTTCGATATCTAACGTGACATTTTTCTGCTTGACCCTGATGAGCTGAACAATAAAGTCAGCTCATGAACACTCAGATACAAAAGGTCACAGACTGTTCATTTAGAAGAGCAAACTATGCTACCTATCTTTACTTCTCTTTCTTATCTTCCTCTTTCCCTGTTAAGTTCTCCTTCTAGTTGTAATCTTTTTCCTTGTTCTCCCTGACTCTTGCATGATAAAAACATCCTGCTGCAAACCCCTGCTGACAGCATGGGAGATGAGCAACCCAGGAGGTTGATAACATCCAGACAAACACATCATAAAAACAATGATGTGCACAATCAACATTTTAAACATGCACAAATCCCTCCCAGCATGTAAACTGAATTTATGGAATAAGAGAATTATTTGTCTCATTCAGTAGTCCTTGGTGATCCTCTTTTTATCAACTTTTTGCACAGTTTTGGTATAATCAGCAATTAGTTTCATCTTTAGTGGCAGGTAGATTGACATGAACGCTGAACTCATGCACACTCTGTTGTGTTTCCAACCTCTGCAGCCCAGAAATGTTTCCTCTTGTTGACCTTACTGACCTTAGAGATGGGCAGGACCAGGAACGCTCCTCCTCCACTGGATTCAACAATGACTGCCAGGAACTTTGGGTTGATAGCGCAGAAGGAGCTGTCCCACGTCACCTTGGAAACACGAATGTCATCGTAACCCTGCTCAGCTTTGACCGTCTGGCCAAAGACGTGGCGAAACTTGCTCTGCCGCACGATGCTGCGACTCATGGCTGAGGCAAGTAGAGAAAGGTGGGAGGAGGTACAGATGAAGAAATATAAGGAGAACAGACAGTGATGAGTGAGTAAGACGCAAAAAGGAGGGAGGAGAGGGATACAAGGGTCTGACCATCCCTACAATGAAGAAACCAAACAAGTTCTGTTCGAGACCACAGAACTGAGGAAAGATTATAGAAGAGCTTGTTATCACAATATTGTATTCTCTGTACTGTATATTGTTTATATCTCCTTCTATTGTATGTAGTCTGTCTTTGTCAGTCTTTGTCTTCTAGCTTAACACTAACAATAATCTGATGTGTTGTTAAGAGCAGCTTTCTGCTTTAAATAATACATAAAGATCTATTTTTTACCTTTAATTTTGCTTATTGGTTTAAAGAAAAACTTTGAATTGAAGCCAAGCGTTCTGCTATTCTCTGGTTAATGAACTCTGTAATTTGTTTGTTGACTGACAATTGGCTGTGCGGCTGTCCCAGGCACCAGGCCTCAGGGACTGTAATCCTCCAAAACACCAAGAGATATTCTATAACAGTGCCTGCCATCAGTGTAGATATTAATAGTTGATTGTCCCACCAAACACTATGTGACAGCCAAACATCAAAGACAAACACTAAGACACAGAGAACAGATAAAAGGCCGGGAGAGAACTTAATATATAACAGATACAATCCCACTGTGAAGCTACCAATACACAGTGCAGCAGTTACATTCAATCACACCCATGTGACACAATCCCGATGAGAATATGTAGTTTAAAACGTATCTAACATATGCTCCCAGACTGCGCTGGCTTACATAAGGCTGAAAACTAAAAACCCAAATCTAGAAGTAGGCCTGCATCAGTCCCCAAAGACGTTTGATAAATGCAGCACTTCTTCCATTTGTTTAGTGGATGATTATAATATGTGGCTCTCTTCCAAAAGCATAGAAGGCACCGAAGCCAGGGTCCAGTTATTTTTCTGTACAAGTTTGTCAACCTGCCTGTCACAAAGTGAACATAAAGTGACCCAAATCCTGCTGTCATCACAGCTTTAAGTGATGATGTCTGACTTTCACACTGGAATATTCTGCATTAAGCCCCAAAGTGAACCCAATGACTGTGGGATACATGACTCAACCAGACTGATGAGGGGACAGGAGCTACCGCTTCTTTCCTGGAAGCTCTCTGTTATCAAGCTGATTTACATTCCAGGGACCACTTTAGACTAGGCCAGCTGTGGGGCAATTCAGGGAGAACACAACATTGCGATACTTATATATGTAGACACATATTTATTTTGAAAGCAAGATGGAAAGTACACATTTATATATACAGAACATATATAGAAATGTTGTGTATTTTCCATCTGGCTGTCAAAATGAAGCACAAATATAGCTACAAAAGGAGAAGCAAAAAAAAAAATTGTCTTAATTATCTATTATCTTACCTATATCATCTGATTTGGACATGTTTTAAGAAAGGGCTTGAAAACAAAAATACAATAAAATAAAGATATCTTAAAGTTCAAAGCCACCTAATTAAAATGAGATATGGGAGATTTTAGCAGAACAGATCTCATTCAATAATTAAAAAAAAAAAAAACTTCTATACTTTGGGAAACCGAAGCAGAAGTAGGTGGAGTGAATTAAAGTAAACCAAGTTGCGTTAAACGTGGAAAACCTCCGACGTGCTCCGTTAATCCTGCCTCACGTTAATGAGTTGGCCCTCCTCTGTCGCGCATGGCACGGCTCTGGGGAGTCGAGACAGAGCGAAAGAATGACACTGCCACTTTCCTAATATAGACATGACAAACTGCACTGTCCCACCCGGGCCAGCCGCCCCTCCCACCCGCCAGCCCCGATCCTAAATAGTCCTAGAATGAAGGCGACGCACTCTGTGGCGCTTTATCGTTAATGAAGGGACCGTAAATTTTAAACGGCCAAATGCGCACAGCTTACACAAACACTCATAACACGCACGGACATAGGCTGTCAGGGGGCGCGGGAGGCGTGAGGGAGGGGAGGGAGGTTGGTAATGTACAACGTGCTCCTTAAAGTAGCCCACAGCTGCCATACATGACTCAAGATCTGCTCCTTCCACAGGAGGGGTGGGAGAAAAGTGCACAATCACAAGGTACAGACTCTTTGGTTGTCCGGCGATGTGGACGCGCTCGCTCCTCTCCAGCAGTGCAGTAAAGAAGCTGACGCACCTCTCACCCCCCCCACTGCAGCACCGATACTGACACACATATTTTGGAAAGACAGTCCACAGGACAGCTCACCTCAGGTTTTGGGGAGACCCCTGTTCCCTGGACAACTCTCACGGTTTCTGTAGTACAGCCTGCTACTCCTCTTCCTCCCTTATTGCTGCTCTTATTCCTTTGAATGATATTCCCTGCGATCCGGTGTCCTGGAGTCGGTGCGGACTTGCTGAGGAGACGCACAGGACAACTGCGTGACGCTCCTCGGCAGGGAAAGAGAGAGGGGGGGAGAGTACCGGGGCAGAGCAGGGAGAGAGGAGGGTGTGGGTGGGTGTAGGGTGAGTGGTCGTCTATTTTGGAACAGGCTCTGTCAGTGGCCTACAGGGAAACGTGACGCGCGCCGGGTACAAGGGCTATAGCGCGTCCCTGGGGGGGTCACTGACACAACTGGTGGCCTCTAATAGACAAATTGTTACTTACATGATAGTTGGAGATTAAACACAATAAACACACACACACACACACACACACACACACACACACACACACACACACACACACACAGAGTTGATCTGATGGTGCCTTTAGGGGTCACCGTTGGCCTCTAATAACAAAATGACCTAAACAAAACACATACAACGGGTAGCATTATATCTTTGAAGTAGAATTTTTTACTTGACCTGGAAAATAATCTTTTTGCATGCATGACCAATTCTTGGTGGCAATTGTGCAGATGTGTTCAGGCATCATCCAGCAGAGAAATTTGATCATGTGGCTGGTCATAAACTTTACACCTCCATGAGAACAATAATTCCCCTATAGGAATTGTTTTTGTAGCAGAATGTAGCAAATTGCAGTCTAATTTAATTTAATTTAATTTCAAATGTTGTGTTATATCATAGTTTTGAACATATCTTGGTGCTCAAAAATAGTTCACTGAATACTCACTGAATGCATTTTGTGTCAAAGCAATGAAGTGATCCACAGTTTTGTCCACATTGACTGTGAGAAGAGTTTTGAAAAAGTGAACTCAGTATAGAGAAATGCATACAAACAACTGTAGGATGTGAGCTACTAACTCTGTTAACATCAGGATTTATGGTATTTTAACAATTTTCTAGTAGTTGACAGCCTATTTCCTGGCATTAAAGGTCCACTGTGTAGGATTTAGTGGCATCTAGTGGTGTAGTTGCAGATTGCAAGTCCATCACGTCACCCTCCCTTTTTGCACAAAGGAGAAACTAGGTGGCCACGAAATGTGTGAACAATGCGAACGGACCTATCTAGAGTCAGTATTTGGTTTGTCTTCTGTAGAAATATGGCAGACCCACGGTGGATTTTTTTGGGGCGAAGATGAAGATGGCGAAGTCATACTCTAGCTCTGATAGGATCACCCTGACATTCTTGAACTAACCCTAAATAAAATCAATGAAGGCAGCGAGTACCATCCAATAAAAGACAGAGTAGGGCGGTTCATGACTCCAGAAAGAAAATGGTGACCCACCAGTCCAGTGTATAACCTTCTTTCTGTTGGCAGAAATGGAATATAATATTCATAGTTTTGTTTTTATTGGCGTATAATCACCTGACTCTGTATCTACAGACGTGGAGGGTTGCCCATGTTTCTACAGTAGTCCAGAACGGACAAACTAAAAACTGGCTCCAGATAGGGCCGTTCCCATTCTTCAGCTTTGTGACAATGTATTTCCAAGTAATCCAAGAGGGTTTTTAAATAGTTTATTTGGCTTAGGAAATAGGAGATGCATTGTTTCCACTGGACGGGAAAGGTATGAAAATGTGTCATTTGAAAAGTAGTAACAAAAGCTGTCAGACAAATGTAGTGGAATAAAAAGTACAATATTTGCCTCTCAGATGTAGTGGAGCAGAAGTATAAAGTGGCATTAAATGAACCATAGTACCTTGAATTTGTACTTAATTTGAGTAAATGTTACATTTCCACTACTGCAAACTAAACTGTACTGTTGGATACACAGCTGTCTCCTGTCAGTAAGTTGCACTAGTTAGTGGGCCAAAGGCTGTGAAATGGGATGTTACAAAGTAAGCACTCCTCTAGCTTTGTAGTTGGTGCACAATGAGTCTTGGATATTACACACCTGGATACCTGAAGGGCATGCTGATCAGGGGTCTTGTTGTGTTTCCTTGTCGCTGTCTATCAATTCACTGTCGCTCACAAAACAAAGAGCTTTATAAAATCCCTCTGAGACCTCCTGCATCCTGCTGTTGGGACTGGGGAGAAAAAGAAAACATCAGAAGAATTACACAACATTACAACATGTTTATTCATTAGGTTTTATACTGCAGGAAATCTGTGCTATATTGGGGTGGAGAACGGTACTCATGAGTTAAGTTAGAGTTTCTGGCTTACCAATGGTTACAGCAGTAAGTTTGACTAACAAGAACACAGAGTACCAAGATACCAACACGTCACTGACACTTGTTTCTCTAATTATGGTGAAAGAGGTCTCCACAGGTATGTTATGAAAAAGGAAAACAGCAATTATTCCACACTGCCAGATATGTGTGTTGCTATGGTTTTAGGAGATACAAATATTGTATACCCATTCTGAGTGTTTCCGTTTTCATTCAAACTGCTTTCGATCAAAGAAACATACACTGTTGACAATGTTTTGGGGAATGAGCTTGCTCTAATTTTTCAAATGTCCTTTTTGTGATGGATCGAGAAAATACTCACCTCGTATGGAAAAACACCACAATGCTGTGACATGTTGTGAAAGCTAAAATTAACTTTAGAAATAAGGAAGTGTTAACCTATTGTATGTGAATGTGCTCCTGACACTGCTGAATGTATTCCGAACAGAGCTGAAATTATTAGTGTATTGATTAAAATGGACAACTTTGATAACTAATTAATTAGTCACTAAGTCAAGTAATTATAAACACCGTCTGCTACCGAATGTAAGGATTTTCTGCTTTTATCTGTTTTATATCATAGTAAACTGTGGGTTTTTAACTGTTAGTTGAATCTAAAGATGTCCTTGTAAGGTCTGGGAAATTGTGGACATTTTTTTCCTTACATAATCGCTATATGATTCAGTTATGTCATGACCTTATATTCCTGCACAGTCACAGCAAAAACACTCCAATAATTTCCATTGTTTAATGGTCACAGTTGAAGCACATGATATAAAAGACTATTTACAATGATAGTTTAAAATAAAACAACAAAATCAGTTTTTGACAATAAACACACATACCCAACAGCTGCTACAACCTAAGCATGCTCCCCCAAAGTAGCAACCATACATTAAAAAAAAAGCCACATTAAAAATTAAAAAGGGAGTAAAGTGCATGTATGACAGACCTCCCTGTACAGACATTTCTGATAGACTGCAGAGAAGCTTCACTTGCCAGCCACAGGCACACTCCTAAAAATGTGTACAAAAGAGAACGATCGATTAAAAAAAAAAGTATACACCCACGTGGTAATGTTGTGCTACAGTCGTACTCACACACGGACACAAACCAGATATAAAAACAGGTACAGTTCCTAAAATGTCAACACTCACAATATAGACCTTTACATCCCAAAGCGAAAGTGGCAGAAAACTCACAAATATACACTCTGCCTTCAACTCCCAATCCCCTAACCTACCCCCTTTCTCCCGCACAGCAATACATACAGAAAATGTCTACTTGAGTGGCATCAGAACTGCGAGAGTACACGAGAGAGATGAGTTTACTTCAGTTTATCGTGTAGTAAAAGATGAAATTGTTATTGACTTGACAATCCAGAAATCCAGAGCCCAACGCTTGTGCAGGTCAGATTTGGTTCAGACTGACTGAGGTATTGTGTAGTCTAAACAAACATAAAAAAAAACCCAGCAGGCCTCTTCTCTTTGCATTTTGATTGAATAAACCACTGTACAACTATGCAGCTATCCTGTCAACAGCTCTGGATACACCTTTCTTTGGGGGAAAAACACTAATCTGTGGCGTTTGTGGTTCAACCTGAGCTTGTATATTTAGATGCACTGCTGCTAGCACAAACGATCTTTAAAATAAGTCTCTGGACTGCAGAGTTGACTTTGATTGGTATAATTTGTCAGTATTTCAAATTGTTCTGCCAAATAAATTGTATTAAATTGATCTGAGAAGTCTGTTTTAGTATTGAATTAATTTACCTGTTAGACTGTACCAGAACAGCTGTATCATTTTCTTGTTACCTACCCAACCAGCAAATATTGATGAAGAGACATGAAAGCACATGAGAAGAGGAAAACAGAGGCACATTCCACCTTAAATCAGGTCAGACTATTCAATCAACCAACAGCGATCAAGTAAATATCAAGTTGATGTCGGAGAAACCAGCAATGATGTAAAGAGTGAATATGTGCAGGCTCAGGCATATAAACATTACCCACATTCATTTGGATGATTGTTTTTGCTTTTTGAATGTCTTCTGAAAGTGTTGATACCACACAGCATTTCTTCCAATCTCACTCATAGTTTTAGTTTCAATTGACTAAAGCCTTCATAGCCTTTTCACTGTTCTTGCACTGAGACAAGTATCTCATATCGCAGATTTTACAGCGGCTCTTGTCAGATCTGCGGGGGGGGGGAATGTACAGAAAGTACTTAACATATCTTTTAAGGCAAGAGGCATTGGTTTGTTTTGCTGAATAAATTTAACATATGCATTAATTTCCACTTCCCCCAGGAGTACATGATCCTCTCTCTCTCTCTCACGCACACACACACACACACGCACAGTGAGGGTTACATGGTGTGGTAAAGGGTACTAGCAGTTCTTTTCTTAAGCCTCCTCAGGGGATGAGTCCTTCCATATTGCTGCCTTGTTGTCATAAGTGTCAGCCCAGGAAGATGCAGAGAATCTTGGTTAGAGTAGGGGAGTTGTGCTGCTTGTGGATTCTGATTTGACGGTGGAGATGGCGGAGGTGTTGAAGGTTCTCCTGCTTCAGTGAGACTCTCTGCACCAATCCCGAAGTCCTCTGGCTGCTGGGTGTCTAAGGAAGGAGAGTTGTGGACCCGCTGCTTCTTGGACTCATCGCTAACTGCATGGATTGGAGGTTCTACTGAGGACGGCGCTACAGAGGAGCGGCTGAGCTCCCATTCACTCAGGTCATTGGCGAGCAGCTCCAGACAGCCCAGTTTGGCCAGAGAGGCTGAGCGCTTCAACAGGGATGGAGGGGTCAGTCCTGCCTGGCGAATCCTGGCTTCCACCTCTCTGACCCTCTTATGGACACCGCTAACTCGCTTTTGGGTAGCTGTAGCACTGCGGCCAAAAACCTGGTCCACACACCTGGCCTTGCAGGCTCCGCCCATGCTCACCTGCTGCAGGAAGGCACCCAGCTCGCACAAAGTCTCCCATGTCTCCCTCATGATAATGTCACTATGGGGTACCGCTGTGGAGCAGTCCCAGTCTGTGCATGACTCAAGCTCTGTCACGCCCTCTAAACACAGGAAGTTCACAGAGGCAAAGGGAGAATGGGAGGAGCGGTGGAAAGGAGAAGAGGTAGAGAGCAATCTAATATCAGCAGGCTGGAGTTTGTGTCCTTTAGTGCTTCTGTCATTATTTGCCCCCATCTCAACTACATCACCACTCTCCCTTTCAACTGGTCCAACCCTCTCATTCTCCTCCTCCAGCTCTTCCTGCACGCTGCTAACTGACTGCGATCTAACTGGTGCATCCTGGGGATTAGACATTGTCGCAGGATGTACACTGGGTGGACGGCGCTGAGAACAAGAGGAGCTGCTTGATAGGGACGGTGGAGATGACGAGGGTACCGGAGTCTCGTGCTCCTGTTTCATTCTTTGCTCAAGCTGTCGTGTGACACGCCGCACAGATCCCCTCGTCCAATCGTTGTAGAGACGAGCAGAAGTGGTCTCCTCCTCTTCATTGTTTTTCACTTCCTCTTTAACATTCTCAGCTTCCTTCTGTGATGAAACATCGCCATCCTCTATTTCCTGCCTCGACTTCCTTGCTTCCTGGTCCTGGGGGCTCTGAGGCTCTGGTTGGCTAAGAGGGTCACCATGTGAAACATCTATGTGTACGGCATCCTTCAGTCCTGTGACCTGCACAGGGATGATAATTTCCTACAAAGAAAATGGAGATCATGTAAATGATAATTCAGTCTGAATGCCAAATAAAAATTTAAGTATATCCATAAAATCATTCAGAATACATTCATGTAAAACTGATTCAGTGACAGATAGTCTGCATGGAGCATCTACCTTTATGCCATCAGGTGGCGCCCTTGGACTCAGCTAAACTAGACTGAATTTAACTGCTGTGCTACTTTGATAAACTACATCACACTGGACATTTTACACAAGTGTAGCCTTGAAAAAGATTGTAAAATTGAACACCCAAAATAAACACCCAAATCAAGACCTCCATCTGAGTATGAGGAGAGCCGCCCTGAAGAAAGTCTATGTGACCCAAAGCTTATACAATACTTTGGGTGTTTGCAGTTTAAGTAAATGTGCAGTAGTTCTGGACAGTTCTGCTACAAGCAGTAGCCTCACCTTTCTTTTCTCCTCCTCCTTCCCCTCACTAGTGGAGACCTCTTGAGGCAGTGGTTGCTGTTCCTTGCCACAACTCTTCAGCTGGCAGCTTTTACCATCTTGACTCATTCCCTTGAATTTCTCCCTGGCACTAAAGAAATTAATGTGATCTGCACTGTGGCCGAACAACACCTCGTTGTCTTGTGAAATGGCACCGGGGTAGTTGATAGAGTCAGTAGTGGAGGGAGGATGGGCCGCTAAATCGTCTAAAGACAAGCCACACATCTGTTGGTCACAGTCTGTTTTTTTGACAGGCACTGGTGCAGCCAGACACTGGGGTCCAGCCTGTTGTGTGCTTGGTGTTTGTGTTGTCATGGGCCCAGGCACTGACACTAGCATCGGTTTTATCACAGGCAGAGAACAGGACAACACCTGTGGTTTGATAACCTCATCCATGCAGGCTGGAGTTGGGGATGGAGCAGGGGAGAGGGGGAGGTGGTGAAAGAATGGAGGTGGGTGAGGCTGGCCCACTAAAACACTCTGTGCAACAGTCACCATGTCTGTCTTTTGAAGCTCAGGCACCACAGTGGCAGCCCTTGGCTGGGAGAGAGGAGGTGATGAGGGATGTTCCTCTGAGTCACATAAGCCGTTGGACAATGGGGGAGATAATTGAGAAACTGAGCCAGCGGTCAGCTCGGGACATGGGGAGTCCAACTGGTTGATCTGGACTACCGCAGAATGAGAAGGGGCCACGAGACTTCTAGCTTCGTCATCAGCTGATAGAGCTGCCACCCTCTCGGAGGAAGAAGAGCTGAATTGATTGGACTGGATGCCAGTATCAGGCTGGCTAGTGGAGTGTGTCGGTTTGCCAGTGCTGGCTGAAGTTCCCCGTGATTGCAGCAGTTCTTTCACAGAGGGACTAGGTGTGCTGCTGGCCTGGTTGTGGGGGTCAGAGTGACCCAGGCTGTGCGGTTGGGCGTAAGATTTAGACAGAGGCTCATGGTGGTCAGACAGGTCGCTGTCAGAGTGAGAACGCCACAGTTTGTTGTGCCTCTGCTTGCTGTAGGAGAGGATGATAAAGGGGTGAGAATAAACATGGAACAATAAAAAAATTTACTTGTCAGTCTCAATAGTCTTTTCATGTTACTCCTCTTTATGCAAACATACATATATAAATATAATAATAATATAAGATAATAATATAATCCACTTACATGTTTTTAATGTTTATTATAAAAGGTTATTATGCTATTGTATTGTGTCACAGATAAATATGATGCTGAAATGAAATGCACTTTAAAGCTGCATTAATCAATAATGTTTTATTAACAATGGATCAAATGACTATGTGTAATGTGAAAGGGGTTGTCGGTAGTGGCAAACCCACCTAGACTTATCACCTAACTCTGCAGTTACGCTTATCTCTAGGGTATTGGGGGCCTTCCCAAGAAAAACAAGAAAATAAAGATGCAACTTTCTCCAATATGGAGCGCTATTTTAAAACTTATATTATACCGCATGAAAAGCTTCTTCAGTTCAAATTCAAAAAACATTTTGTAGTTTAAGAATTTGGATGCAGTAACTGTACATACAATAACACAACACATTTTCTGTATTTAAGGGTGGTAAAGTGGTTTAGCTGTTTGCCCTTTCTGTTTCATCCTGTTGGTTTCATTTGATTAGCCATACAGTCCATGCAGTGTTGACATCATGCTACGCACACAATGTGTTCATGTAGATACCTGGCCAGCAGTATGCCCTGATACTCCTCCAGTTGTCTCATAAAAGAGGGGTTTGGTTTGGTCACAGCTCGACGCTCCTTCACGTAATCAAAGGCCTTTTTCAAATCCCAGCCGTGCTCCTTCATGGCGTATGCAATCACTGTGGCTGCAGAACGACTTATACCCATTTTACAGTGCACCAGGCACTTGGATCCAGCTTTCCTGAAGTTGACATATCAAGCATACATATTTGTCTATCACTATCAAATGATCTGATAGAGTTGAGTTTTTAAAAAGCAGCTAACTCCTAAAAAATGACATGAAAAAAATAGAGAACATGTAGTCATCTGAAACTCACTTGGCTCTAGATATGAACTTGTAGGTGTCATTCCAATAAGCAAGCAGGTCAGTGGCCTCTTCATCGTAAACACGGATGTTGTGGTACTCAAACACTCCAGGAAAGAAATTATCAATCTCCCTCGTTACATTCAGGATGTACTGAACCCTGGGTGAGAATGAAAGAGATGATAAGATGTTAACTGCTTACACTGAGTCAGTTTGGATAGCAGACTGATGACTTCTTCAACACTAAACAATTAATTTCATTCTAACAAAATGATTGTTTTGCTCTTATGATGTAAAACTACATTTTATTGACTTCAACAGTTTGAACTGTGTAGAGAGCTTTGTTGTTTTGTCCCCCTCCTTACCCGCTATTCTGCAACTCCTCCAAATTAGATGCATTCCACTCAGATCCCTGTAGGAAACAAAAGCAATCCTCAGACTAGTTCAGAGCCTTCAGCTGAGCTTTTCATAATGCTTAAATCCAGTAGCAAGGCATGCCTGACATCCAATGTCCACTCCAAAACAAACAAGAACAAAGTACTGTAAAATTAGGAGGTATTACACAAGACTACCTCATATTTTGCCAGGTTCCCCAGACATGGATTAAATCTGGTGCACAACTAACGTTCATACATTTTACTTAAAAGAACTGAGACACTTCCTATAGTTCTAATTCATTCATTTATGATGTGGCACTTTTTCATCCTGTGAATTTCAGTGTAATGAGACCCACGTTGGGTGCACTTGTATTCCAGAGGTGTTTTGAGACTACCTACCAAGAAGACATGATCAAAGATCTCTGTAGGACTGTCCATCTGGCCCAGAATGACAATCATCTCATTGTCGATGAACTCCTTGAACTCTCGCAGGTTGCATGTCATGTGCATTTCCAGCTCTGTTCGGATCTACAAAACACATCAAGCCAGAGAAGAGACAAACGCAGGTAAAATCATAAAACAGCAAATCCAAACCTAAAATGCAGGCATTAGAAGTGCAAAAACTGCATTCAAAGACTGAATGCTTTATACATTTCAGTGATAAATGCATCTGTTTTGGAGCATCTTAAGATACAGCATCTAAGGCAATGACTCACCTCTTTGCAGGTGACATTCTCAAGGTCTTTCTGCATCATAATCTCCTTCAAACTGGTTTTGATCTGACGCTCTGTCAGCTCTCTTTCCGTAGGTCTGCAAAAACACCATGACATTGAAATATGTTATATGAACTAAGAGCAAGTCCATTTTCATATATGAAGTGTTACTGCTAACATACAGTATGTCAGGAAGGAGATATCCGACTAAACCACCTTATGATACAGTGTTTTTTAAATGTGGAATGGTAGTGATTTAAATAAGTGAAAACCACATATGATCTGGATACTTACATGTCAGAGAAAAGCACAGGCGAATCTGCACGGTGTGACTGCACGTCCTGCATTGCATTCCACTCATTGATGCGTACCTGGTCGGAGCAGACCCTACTTTGATAGTAGCTGACCCACGTGAGGAACAAGCTGCCTGGGAAATAGTTGTGACAACGAGCCACCTCGCATGCTTTATGGAGTGACTGGAGGGCCGACCTGCGAGTGAGAGACATTGAGAGACGGGAGATGAAGGGGGGGAGAGAGAGAGAGTTTGAGATCATGACCGAAATAGAGACTTTCAAATAAACGGATACGAAGATGAACACTTGCAACCAATAAAAGGGCAGATATCCATTTCTGCCAAGTCATGTGATTAATGAAGTGTGACTCACCACATAGCCTGCACAGAAACAGGCTTGAAAACATGTATTCTGCTATCAGTTGACACACTGAAACCCCTGAGAGCAAAAAGAGAGAGGTGATATTAAAAAAAAACCCAGTCAGCCATCCTAGCAGCCTGGTGTTTAGTGTGTGTTTAGCTTTGTAGTTTAAGTATGTCTCTTACCCATCTCCGTCCAGATGTATCAATGTGTCGCTCCATAAGGGCAAAACCAGCCCTACAGAACATGAGCTGGGAGAGGAGAAAGGAATAATCTGTGTGTTACATCTTTATGCACTGTTTCAAAACAGGTATAAGCATTTGTAAGTTACTGTCTCACCTATCTACAGGACTGAAGTCCATTCCCAGCACTACGCTCTCCTCCGTGTCCTGACGACCATTGGTTGAGACCACCACCATGTAGCGGGTGATCTGAGAGTGGGCACTCTCCAATCGAACCGCCTGAAAAACACAATTGATGTCTTCACAGTTGACTGACAACCTTACGATTTAATTGTGTGTGTGTGTGTGTTATAGTGTGCACCCACCAGTTTGATGTTGTCCTCTGGTCTGAGGAGCGTGAACATGGTTTGTAGATGCTGCTGGATGTCTCCTGTCAAGATGAGTAATAAAACACTGATCAGTTTCAAGAACCTTATTTACTAAAAGCCCTACTCATACAGTCACACAGTCACTGGCTCTTCAGGAAGACCTTTTATCTCACCTGCATGTTTGCTGCGCAGCTGTGAGAAGCGAGAGGCAGAAGAAGGGGAGGAGCCATTTCCTCGAGGTAAGAATAGAGCAGCTCCTTTAACTGTCAGGAAACTTTCACTGATGCTGGACAGACCGAAAGAAAAGAGAGGAAAACATTTAATGATTGATAACCAACAATAAATAGTAATAAAATGCATCCTAAAAAAAAGCCTTTACAGCTTCAGATCTTTAAATGAAGCTTTACCCAACAGTCAAAGACTCTACAACTGGCTCCAGCTAAACCAATTTTTACATTAGTTAATGAACTAAATGGCATTTTCCTCAGTCCTCCGATCTCTGATGTGTTTTTGTGCAGATGTATGTTTCGTGCAAGTCTTTTGACAATCAATTAATCGTTTCAGTCATTTTTTCAAGTACAAATCTTATATTATATTCTCCAGTCTCAACTTCTGAAATGTGAGGATTTTCCACATTTTGTCTAGCTTATGTGATCATAAACACAATATTTTTTGGGGTTTGGGAGCACTGGTTAGGCATAATAAGAAATATATTTTTACTATTTTATGGCAATTTAAAGACTAAACTAATTGTATGTGTTGTCCTCTTAATGTAATGGTAACACTGTTCCTGGTGGTGGGAATGACGTCTTTCTTTCCCGCAACTGTATGAAGAAGAGGTTTTTGTTCTTCAGAATGAAAACATCTGTTGATAAGTTGAGTATGAGGGGTTTTGTCATCTAAACGTTGAATGCGTTTCAATTATGGCGATTTAATCTTATGTTTACTTAGAAAATACACATGACATCCTGTACAAACATCATATACAAAACAATAATGGAAAGATTTATGTGCCTTTATGAGCTCAAGACACTTGATTAACTGTGCTGTTTGCAACACACAGCAGCTGGTTCCAATAACGTGCTGGCTTAACTGAACTGGAAGTGTTCATAAAATGACAGAAAGCACGACAGACAAAGACATACTGAGTTACAGAAGAAAAACAAACAAAGTGTGCACCCACTTCACCAACCAATTCTCTTTTTCACATGAACCTTGCCCTATCTCAAACCAGCAGACCTACCTGCTGTTTTTATCTTTGTACTCTACAGGCAATTACAACTTAACTGGCTTTGGCTGAGCCTTTAGTTCTTTATGGCATATAACTGAATGACTACCTGGCATGAAATTAACACTTCCAGCAAAGCTACTTGGCGCTACTGCTCTCTGAACAATAGAGTTATGTAATGGACTTAAAATGCCCAATGCGTTCCTTTGATTTTGACGCTTCTGTGACGTATTTTTAAATCAGGTCTAAAGTCCCATTCTGTCACCGTCTGCTGTGAGGATGAAGGAGGAGAGAAACAGAGGCAACAGAGCGTCGACAGCAGTGATTACAAAAGTGACAATTAGGCAATGCACAGCTTCAGAACAGCTTCAGAACGGCTGATGTACAATTTTGTCTAAACACAGTCCCAACCCACATCCTACAAATCACACTGCTTTCCTTAGTGGTGAAGTTATAAAAGTGTCAACAATTTTAGAGATATTCATATAAAACTGGACCATTGCATGAATGTCTGCAAGGATAATTGTCTCTAAGTGAAACTCTAGCATCTACGCCCTCCCCAGGCTGACAGAAGGATCAACAGCAACTGAGACACATGTAATTTATCAAATAAATGAATTAATAACAAAGGTAGATACACTAATGAAGGCCACCAAGGTGTGCCACCCTAGAGGATCCCCAGTTTCACACCCTGTCACAATTGAGTTTCAAATCAGTCAGTGTCATTCCCAGCGTTTGTTCTCTTAAGAGAGATTAATCACATCCTCTGATTCATGAACAATCTGTCTCAGGTACATTGTGTGCCTTCCTGGCACATCTAAAATAAAAAAGGTGGGTGGAGGGTGCATGTGAGCAGATGAGTATGGCATCTGGGAGACATTTCGCAAGGAGCAAAGGGAAGGAAACGTCTTCCTGCAGCCCCTGACTCTGCTGCTGCGCTGTCATATCCTTCCCATTAAGTCATCATGGGAAAAACCACATGCCTTTATCATGACAGATCACTGCTACCACATATTGGAAAGCTGGCCACATGAGAGTATGTACTGTGTCAAGAGAAGTAAGCTTCAAGTCATTAAAAACACTTACTGATATTATACTAACTGAATCAGCAGCCTACATTAAGCATCTCACAAATGATGGTGCGTGAGAACACAATAGCCTCAAGATGTTAGTGCACTCAGACACTCTGGTCTCTGAGCACAGTGCATTGGGTAAACTTACAGCTGATAAATTTCCCCCCGAGAGATCACGGAGTTCTCGGTGAAATACGGTCTCATCTTCGCCCCGCAGCAGGCGCAGAAGCAGCCGGCTGATGAGCTCCGTGGCGCGGTCACAACACCGGGAGGCATCGCTCCTCTGGTGGCGGCAGCAGGGCGCGAAGAAGCGGACTGTAGTCACCGATAAGTCTCAGTTGTGGTGTGGAGGGTAGTTGTGAAAACGCAGAAGCTCTGGTAACAAGATCTCACTTGGGCGCTTTGCTTTTAACGCACATCGCGGATTTTAAGGAATTATCCTTCAAAAAGCGCGGAAATGATATACTCAGAAACGGTAAAGGTATTGACATGTTCAGCACATGCTGTGGCGGGGTAGGTGCCTCATAACATCTGCTCAGGGGTACTGTTTGATTTGTCTGCAGCAGGCTGCGGTAAATCCTGCCGCTGGTGGGGAGGAGACACACATGGTCCAATCGGTGCAGACAGCGGTCTGTCGTAGGCTGTATGAGGGGTGATTGGTGCCATAGTTATAAAGAGGGGAGGGGGTGACAACCACTGACAGCAACATGACTTTAATGGCGACAGCTCTTGTGTAAGAAAACAACATTATTTTGAAACAAAACCCAAGAATAAATGACTAAAAAGGATTTTTACTGGCACTCAAAAATGTGAGTGGCTGCTCATAAGGATGTCCCTGTTATTCTACCTACTTTACTTACATTATAGAGGCTATTTTTGTGGCTTTAGGTTAAGACTAGAAGAACTTCAGCTTTATTTGGCTTAAGGAAGCTGTGGCTGATCATATCTGATCCATTACTGTCACAGCCTTTGACATGCTCTTTCGGTTCCTCTTTTCCATCATACCTTGACCACTTGAACTCAAATACTACATTTAACAAGTTGTGCAATTGTTGTACAACTTATTCACGTTATTCAATTTGCCTTTACACCTTTATTCAACAGGCTACAGGATTCCAGTCCAACAGCCAGATAAAAATTTAATTATATAGTTATAGAATATTAAGAGGGAGGGCCACACGCTGAACACATTGGTGTTGTCTGAACTCTGCTGCTATACGTCTGTGGCCTTTAGGGAAAATTCTCACCACAGACAGTGACACTTGAAACCGTGCTTCCAGCAACAGCACAACAACACAACAACAACGGAAAAAGGATTGAGAAATCAAAAAGGAGACATCACGAGTGAACTGAGGAGAAACTTGACCTTAGACATGGTTACGCTGCTTGTTTATCCCTCGTGGTTTCAATTTATGGGATAGATTACAAACTGAAGGTAAATACATGGCCACAATCTGACTGCCAATTCATATCACAGGATAAACAACAACTGCAGTGGTGTTTTTCTTTGTAATAGTGCACACATGTGTACATGCTGTGTCTTTTTTTTGTAGAGTAATAGGCTCTCCCTCCTTCATCAAGCAGCCAGGTGGTGAGATTCTGTAGCAAGATGAAGCAGATCAATTAACTCCATGATGTTACAGGCTTTGACCTCCTCTCAGTGATCTTTACAAGCATCTATTCGATCTTTATTAGTCCACTGAGTCACGGGTGGTTTAACATATCAAAGTAAGTCATTAACAGATAGAGAGACAGCGGTACAGCATAAATTCAGTGTTAGCTATAACACAACGAATGTTTAAAGCAGCCAAATGTGGCACTGATGAGACTTAAATACTCCTCAAGACACCTTCATCGCTGACTGATAACAGCTACCTAATCCGACAAACAACACATTATCCTTTCTTGTCATGAGGTTGCTTTCTCCTTCTCTGACTGACTTTCTTCTCACATTGACCCCTAAATCACTTTCATCTCCCCATGCTCTTTCTTCAACTGGGAATATCTGTAAAGACATTGTAGGTATAGCTAGGAACAGTCAGTCTGCCATGGGTCAGGTACTCCTAGTGGCCCATGGTGTTGGAGTTCCAGCTTACTCTCATTTGACTGCTGAAATTCACACCATTCAATGACAAGCAGCGAGGGCCAGCATGTGGTTGTTACATGCAGACAGACACCGGACACTCCTCTGTTGCTCTTATGTCTCCACGTATACAAAGACACAGACAGTCACCTTAGTGATCACAACATCCCATATATAATGCAGTACACCCAAAGCTATTTAGTATTTGCTATGGATTTGAAGAACACACACAAAAACATCTTCAATCCAAACACACACAAACACAACAGATTAACAGCTATCCCAGGAGCAGCTGAGTCTTGTATATATTATGCACTGACAGGAAGTAAATCTGATTATTTACAGTTTAATCAATAAGCCAGACAGCATATCTAACAGACCACACACATTGGATTGCAACACAGAGAGTGAAAAAGATTTATTTAATCGGACTAAAGAATTCAAATCTGAGAAACACTCGTGTCATAATAAATTCTCGTTCTCCCTCTCTGATTTCTCCTCTTCGGCTCCTTCAGTGACGTTGCTGCTTTAGCTGATGTCACTGTTCTGCTGATGTCACTGACTTTAATCAGCAGCGCTGCAGTAGGCCCTGCTTATGCAGACAGACACACTGCATCACTAAGGGCTTATTCCAGTCTGAATGAATGTCACTACCTGTGTCAGAGATGAGCTCTGCTGCAGCTGCTGACTTCTATGGCACAGACGTCAGCAGTGTGGGAACATTAATTCAGTGCACGGCTTCACTTTTATTTAACCGCTTCTGCATCTTTGCAAACACACCCGTGGCTATTTTAGTGGACAAGATACGAGTGCTCTTCTTGTGGGATATTATGAGAAGATAATTGCCCTAAAAAACCTGTTGAACAAATCTAGTCTATGATTGGAAAGAATAAAGCTGAAATCCATGACTGTGAATTGTTGCTAAATCAAACTAGAACAATAAGATTGATTAGCAGCACATAGACAGCAAGTTCAAGGCACATGATCCAATCTTAGCATCTAACAACAATCTACCATGCAGATGACAGTACTGTCATCCTCTGCAGCCAAGTATAATGCAGTATAATATACACAGCTGCTTACTTGGGAAAAGCAATTCAAAGACGTTTGAGACTAATCTGTAGTCAAGACAGGGCCCAGCTCCTCACTCGGAACTTGATATTCATATGTGCTCCTTTGAAAAAAAGGCAATGGCATGTCCGTACAAGTAACAAGTTCATGGTGTTACATATTCCATATTTGGGTGGAACACTGTACAGTCAAATAATGTCAGAGGACCCCTGATTTCCACTGAAAATGTCACACTTAGCCAAATGTGTATGTATAAAGGTCACAGGTAATAATCTTGGGACTTCAAAACAAGACACTGAAAATAATATTAGTTTACAAAACACTGTAAGTCAAAATGACATTTCATCTGACACCTATGCACACACACACACACACACACACACACACACACACACACACACACACACACACACACACACACACACACACACACACACACACACACAGCCTTAGTATGTGAATATAGATTTCACTCCCAGCTGCACAAATACAGAAAGCCCTCTCAGTTGGATGGCACAGAGCTCCAATAACCAGACAGACACAGAGGCGCTCTGACTTTGGGAGGGGCTACCAATCTGCCCCTGGATCAGCAGTACAGTTCCCCTGACCCACATACCCAGACCTGTCTCTCAGGGAGCTCACTGCCCTCTAACGTACAGCCAGTGAACTGCAGTTAATTATCTCATACATGAGAGGATTTAATTTATTATTAAAGGGCCAAATAAAACAAAGGGGGAAGTAAGAGTGTTAGTGCAACTAAGGTTCACTGGTATCTAGAACAAATAAACAGCAGGCACAGAAGGACACTGCTGATTCGTGGTGGTCTAAAACCAGTTGTAAATGTGGTTGAGTGAAACAGGATAAACCAGATTCCCAACTCCAGTTCAACGACTGAGGCAATAAGGAACAGCACAGTTGTGTCGCAGAAATACAACAGCAGCAGGATAAGACACATTTAATGGTTAAACATCAAGTGCTTCTTCAGGTATAACCTATTTCCTCCTCTGTATAGCTGGGTGATGTCAAGCAGGTCAGAGGTTAGGGGTAGCAGTAGATGTTTTTGTTGTCTTTTTAACCACTCAGCCTTGCACTACATTTCTCTTACATTTGTCCAACGTCACTATGATCCATACTGGTTTATGACGTCAAAAACACACTGCACCTCAGTGAGGTAACAGAGAGAAGTTATTTTTTTAGCATGTGGTCATACGAGGGGAAAGCTGATGACGCTTTGTCCAAAACACAGCAGGAGATGCAACATCTGTCAATATCTTACCTCCTCGGCTGAGAGCGACGGTCATCCTCCCCACTACCGGACTCCTAAAGAGATGAAATGAGAACATTACATTTAATGATGTGCAAATATGGTAGAACAATGTCTGATCTTGAAGATAACATTACAATCATGATTTTGATGTTGCAGAAGAAATTGAAGTGTGATATCTTTATTTACAATGTATTTATTTTTATATAGAATTCATTTAGATCACCTGTTTGCGAATGCACCCTATCACATCACAATAATTGTGTTAAAAAGATAACAGACAAAACATTCCTCTTAGAACTTTTTTTGTTTGTTGCTATAGTAGGAAATAATTAATACTGTACACAGTAAAATGCAAACTAGGAATGCACGCTTATATTTATATTATAATTTATTTTATATAATTAAGTTATCCCAATAATTAAATAATAGTATCGGACATGAGAAGCAGGTTATTATCGGTTATTGTATTGGCTGAGTTGTGTATCCCTAGTGCAAACAGTATTAGTAATTTGATAAAGCTGATAAACTGAAAATTGTGAATAATAGCTTCTAAGAAATTAATAAAAATAAAATAGCATAATTAATAGTTTGTATATAATAATATAATAATAATAATAATAATATATATAATTAAAATGTAGCAACATTAGATCAGCTTTCTTGAAAGCCAGACAAGTAGTAAAAGAATGAGTAAATTAATGTAAATGAATCAAATCCCACTGTTCTATGTTGAGTAAAACAAAAAGAGTAGTTTGTAGCGCACACACACACACACACACACACACACACACACACACACACACACACACACAAACACAAACACAAACACAAACACATGCACAAACAGTGCAAGTAGTATCCATCACAGTATCCAGTGAGCAGGAGGGAGAGCAGAGTGCAGCTTCAACTCAATTTGCACACTCTCCAGGAAAATGACCTCAGTCTGTTTTTAAGGTGTGGCTGGTCAGAGAATAACATATTCACACACACAAAAACAAGCGGGGAGATGAGGAAGAGCGAATAAGAGAAAAATCCAAATCACATCAAATGAGCACATTGTGGAATATGAAGCTTTACTAAATAAGAGGGCTAAGGATTAGTGGCAGATTAACACATGGCACTTATCTTGCAGTGCCCAGTACTTATCTTGTTTACACTGTATGTAGGCTTAACTGGCCTTAACAACATTACAAAACCATTAACAGCTTCATAAAAAAGAATAAGGGGATTACAGGTTTATGATTGGCAACAATAAAAAAGTCGAGGTTGCAGGTGCAGGGCTGCCTCAGTGTGTTTGCATTGGGTGATAAAATCATATCAGTTTCTTAATCTGTGAATCAACAGTTGGATGCAGCCGATGCAAACTGTCTGCAATGTATATATGTGTATTTTACATGAATTGGTATGTACATACTCACAGCCACATTATCCAAAGCAGGTCTCCATTATGGGCTCTCAGACTCAACAGCACAAGAGATATTTAAAACAGATCTTGTGGATTGTTGAACACCTTGATTGTTAAAGTCTGTGATGCTGGAAGTAATGTGTCCATAAAGGTTTTACTCTTAGTAAATCAAAACATCCAGTGCCTTACTTTGTGTTGCTGCATACCCATATCTAAAACAACAACCTCCAAAACACTTAATGCTAGGAAATAGTGTACTTGGCAGATTTTAATATCTTATGTTCTTTGAGTTTTATGGCACAACATTGTGACATTTGTGACTAAGCAGGTTTCAAATTAAAACAAAGCACCTGATTGTGTATGTAAAGTTTCAGCTGTTGTACGTTGTGCCCTGTATCCACATATCACCCAACCTCTGTTTGGATTGGAAAAGACAGAGATTTTGCATGTATGAAAATGTTAAAGGATTTTTACAAAGCTTATGGAAATGTGTAGCCTGAATGTGCAAGCTGGTCAAGTCTGTGCTGCACTGGGAGGCACAAGTTACAGCATCTAGAGTCAAGTCAAAACTAGTAAAAGGGCAAATGTGTCCAAGTTTGTGCTGTACAGAATGTGTGTTTTCCCTACAAACACCCTTATTATGATGCAAAAACACACCAGTGAGGGTGAACAGGTTGAAGTCAAGATGGTGGAGAAAAAGAAAAAGCAGCTAGCAGACATCTCACGAGTGGTGGTTTTACATAAGACTTCATGCACACACACACACACACACACACACACACATCACATGACAGTAAGACACAGGAAACCAGACATGTGTCTGTGCAATGCGTTATCACTGTATGTGTATGTGGGTTGCAACTTGAAAGCATATTTCCACAAGAAGACACTTCATATCCTTCACCACCCTTGCCTGCCTCACCTTGCTAAATTACACATATGCATGCATATCTTCTTCCTCTACTTTTACAGCTCCGACTCCCGTCGTGATGAAAGACTCCCCGTCTCACTATCACACCTCTAACATAAATGATCATTCAAATGGTCAGACACTAACTCCTTTATACGGATTGCTAGGGATGTAACGATACACTTAACCCAAGATTCATTCATTTTATAACAATTATAAAAACACTTTTCTTTGTAAAACTGAAACTGAAGTCTTGGCACCTTGATACCATGATTGATATTATAATATTATATTACATTATATATTTTGAGTCAGTTTGGCATACAGAACAAATCACCTAAAATGTGTGTGGACAGTTATTACTATGCCTACTTACAGACAGGGTCCCTTTGAAGGCCAAAATACCCAGAGAGAGTTTGTGACGTACATTGTTAAAAAATAACTTGACTGCAGTTTGTTATTTGGGACACAGTAGGGGGTAGAAAATGTCACATTTTCACACAAACTCTAATGTTATGGGTCCAGCTAGCAAGGAACAAATTAAAGGGGGTTTCCTTCCTTATTGGGCTGTAGTATTTTGACAAACCACTGTTTGATTTTGCTGTACGGGTTGGGCAATATGCAAATATATATTGTAAAGCAATATAAATGTATTCCATCAAAGATTTTGCCCTCAAGTTAATATTCACTTATGTCACAATAGACATCCCTTGGGTGTTTTAGGCCATTGTGGGCACATTTAGGACTTGATTTGTCAGGTACTATGATTTACTCCATCAGCAAACACACTGCAGTCTAGTTATTTCATCTATTAACACTACATCAATATAAATATTGATGTCACAATTTAAAATTTTACACATACATAAACCTTGATATTGGATTTGATCCATATGAAATTCTACTGGTGATTCACTAAACCCATACAGAAGTTACATACACCGCCTAAACAACCCGGTAAACGGGAAGTAAAGCATATCAACATGTATCGAATAATGTCAGCCTGGCTCTCTCTCTCTCCTCTCTAAAAATAAAAAGCACTGGCTGTGAACAATACACACAGCAGAAGTGATAGGGAGTGTATGAAGTTGTGTGAAACAGACAGAGGACGAAATTTGAATGGGAAACAGACTGTGTATGCTTGCCACTTCCCTCGGTCTACCCTTGCTTGTCTGGTGGGGTTCTCTGCTTATTTAGTCACAAGACCAACAGAGGGGAATAGAAAAAATATACACCTGCTCCTCTGCTTTGCATGGGCACACTCTTGCACCACACACACACACACACACACACACACACACACACACACACACACACACAGACGGAAACAGACAGGAAGAGAGAGGCAGACAGGTGGAGAAACGTGCAGACAGGAGGTAGTCTGAGGAGATACACAGACAGAGACAAAGAGAAAGACACGTCCACAACCTTATTTACATACCAAGACAGCACACAACAATGGTGCACGAGTAAATACCCGCATTCATGCGTGTCACAAGGCGCTTATTACGAGCGGAAGTGCATTACATATTTCTTGGTAGGCAGCTAAACTATAGGTCTTGCAAATAAGAACCATTAGTATAATTTGCTGCCACACACAGACGAACAGGAGAGGCAAACAAGCCTTAATGAAAGACTGGAGTTCCTCTAGTTCTTGGTCAGTAGCAGCCATTAGTTAACAGCCAGGTTGAACCTTTGAACTGGCGGAAATGTGCATACAGGAACCATGTGAACAGAGGAGTACAATAAAAACGGAAGAGGAAACCTGCCGTCTGCTCGTACGCTAACGTTGCTGACGGCGCTGCCTCGTCAAAACAGCTGCAACAAAACATGATCGGAGCAGGTTAAACTTGGCTGCGAGTAACAACACTGACATTGTAAACTGAAAACGATGAGCGGCTATACTTCACGCATGCGCAGGAGTACAAAGGCAAGGCACTTTATGACAGCAGCCGACAAAAAAAAAAAAAAGACAACGGAAATGAACCCCCCAAAAGTCGCCTTCGACAGCAGAGAGGTTTTTGGGTTTTGGCGGTGATGGTGAAGAAGAAAAAAAGAAAAGAGGGGTTCAATAAAAGGCGGTTCTTACCGAAACGCAGGGGCTGGAGCTGGTGCTGGGGGTCGGTGAACGCTGCACGGTAACCAGCGCCATTCAGCGACCGGGAAGCGGACACCTGAGGGGAAGCGACAGCGGCGAGACGAGCATAGTTGTTTGTAGGGGGAGAAAGCCCAGCTGAACCCGGGTTGTTTGGTCCTCTGTGGGGTTTCCTCTCTCTTTCTCTCGTCGTAGACTATTTGACTACTCCCCGGCTGTTTCCTCTGTCAGCGCCATCTGCGCATGCGCAACTACCCTTAGCTTGTCAATCCCGATTAACCGTATGAGTGCTGGACGTAAACAAAGCAGTCATGAGTAGTAGGCTATCCGTCAGTCAAACAATGATCTTGAGGCTACTGATTTAGCATTTACTTGTATTAAAAGATGACCTCCATCGTCAGGCAAACGGCCTACAATGAATGCATTTAGAAATGTGTATGTTAAAGGGGTACTCTAAACTAACTATACTTAAATGTATATTGTACTGACATAAAGTTGAGGAGCTTCCTAGACATAAATCTTTAAAAACAATGGTCAGAATCTATGCAGCAGAGGCCAAAATAGTGTGACTTTCAATCCCCACTGTTGGTGAGACTCAGAAAACACTAGATCCTACATTACCCATGATGCAACTGATAAGCGTTGCTTGACCCTCCTTGCCTGGTTAATGCTTGTCTATTTCATACTGTACATCTCTTATTTGTAACTTAGGCTTTTCATAAAAAAATTGAAGTCTTCAAGCCTAAACCAAGATAATCCTGATGACATAACCTGGATTATTTTCTAAGACTGTAAATAGACAGAAGACATTATACAACTGAGTAAAATTGGTTGAGTGCCCCTTTAAATAATACATTAATATGCTTTATTATTCTTAAAAGACTTAAAAGAAATGTATTTGCATTACACATCTTAACCAACTATTATTAGGCCTACTATTAATAAGATAAGATAAGATAAGATATAATTTTATTTTTCCCAAGGGGAATCTTGAGACATTTCAGTCCTCATGTCTAAATTATTTTTTTAGGAACCTCATCAAGTCCTATATTCAGTAGTTTTTGTTTTATTTTATGTGTGAGTTCTTAAGTCACTGCAATTTACATAAAGTCAGTTCCTCAATAATTTTCTTAATCTCTCCAATAAAAATCAATTCAAAGAAGTCACATGATTCAGGGTTTTATCTTTGCATCAGCCTGTCAGTGTCACTTCTAAGCATAAAATAAAATGAGAATACATAATGTGAGGGTTGTGGGTTAGTTTACTTTACAGTATCCATATAGAGTATAATTGCATTTCTATGTATTGGTTTAGCAGAGTTAGTCTAAACATGTGGTAACCCAACTTAAAGCTTCAGAAAAGAAGAGAGGCCTGCCTTCCTAATCTACTGTACTGACCAAGGGAAAAACATCAGGTGATGTTTCATGACTCCTGAGGTGCAGCCTGCCCGTCTGAACCTGCACTGCTACACTGTTGTCTTCACAGCCTAAGGACACAGATATGGGATAGCTGCAGCAACCATAGCCCGTCATAAACCACACACTCAAACGTGATGTGTGTGTCATTAGCAAATGCAACACAGCCCAGATATCAGTTTGTGCAGGTACACACAGCAAAGCACCAGCACTGTCATTACAGCTGCTGGTGTACAACCTGGTTTCTCTTCCCTTTTCTCCAACACATAAATAATACTAGCCTAATATTCAGACTAAATTGCCAAAAATTACAGATGTGGGTGCCGATTGAAACGTTTGGAGCCAGACTGAAACGATACACAATTCAAATAATTCAGCGTATTGTTTGCTTGTTGTCAATAGCAGTGTATACATAAGGAAGAATTAACTGTCAGTTATCGATACCAAAAAGGTATATGTTCAGTCCCTTCTCCTTTTTAAGTAACTTCACCATTTACAGTGTCTGTCCATCATTCCATCCATCCATTCATCCCTCCATCAGGCAGCTTTGGTCGCTCTGTTTGTACCAGAGGGATTAGCAGTGAGGCCAGAGAGGAGATGAGATGAGATGGAGATTACGACAGAGATAATGGTGTTTGGATTTAGGGTCACTCAGAGGAGGCACAGGGAATGCAAAGCTGCAGCTTTAATCACAGGTGAGCCATGTGCTCTCTGATCTGATTTAAAAGAATGACTTAGGAGGTTTAGAACAGAGCATCTGACAGCATTGAACATAAACAATGACAGACAATAGCCATGCACGGACTTTCAGTCTCCGTTTTGTATCCAGTAAGAATATCAGACTCACTTGTACATTTCATCACAGTTAATCTTTTAAAGAAGCGTTTCATGTCATTGACTCCTGTCTCCTCACTGTAATCATTATCAATGATAAATCCATTATATCCTCTGTATCTCTGATTTAGCACTTTGTGGCTATATGATGTATGGTCACAGAAATAGAATAGATATAGATTGCAAGCTCTGGTTTCTGATTATTGATCATTGATATTGACTGGTTCCCAACCTGGAGGTCAGGACCCCTTCAATAGGCCATGGAATAGTACACGTGATGATAACCAGGATAGAAAATATAGAGGAAAAAAAACATCTTCTACATAAAATGATGTATTTATTCTGTACTTTGCTCTAATGTTGCTTTTCCTTTTGAAATAGTTTTACATTACCAGACCTGTCATTGTTGTTTTTTTTACTGATTCATGAATATGCATCCTGTGATGAAGGGTAGCAAATAGTCACGTTTGGTATGAAGAAATAAAAATGAAAAGAGAAAAGCTTGAGAACCACTGATATCAAATTAAGTGTTATCAAGAAAAAAAAATGTCTGTCCAAAAATGTATTGTAATATAACCAATTTTTGACATGATCCTTATTTGTTTAGAATTGAACACTACTTCCCTAGTTCAATAGCCTAAATTCACCCAGTAGTCAATGTGTATTGGTAAGTGTGTAATTTTGCTTACAATTGTAAAAAATATCGAGTCTTTCAGAAGACAACATTATTCACATCCCAGAGATAAATTGAATCTAGTATGAACATTATAATCATTAATATTAGTTTGTTACAGTTGTTCTACTCACACAACGTTAGATAAATAGCACTTATATACAATTTATAACATAATATATGGAATAGAAATGAATGTATAGGTATATACATATAGTAACTAAAATAAAAATTGAAAATAGAAATATAACAAGAGCCTAAGAGACATAATAAGATAATAAGACTATACAAAAAAAAGTAAATGTAAATGTAAACATATTTCACCGTACGTGCTGACAGAAATTAAATAAATAGTAATGAGTTTTAAGATTGTGGTGTTGCAGAACTTAAAGATAAAATACTATTTAATTTGTACACAGATGTTTGCATTTTTTTAATTTAAAAACTTGTATTTCTCTGGATTTAACCGTGATAGTTGCTCTATGTGCAGACTCATGGTACAGGCCAGGTTAATCACGATAAACTGATCAATGACTTTGAACACTTTGAAGCAACATTGCCATCTATTGGTAGGCCTACTCTAAGTAAACACATAACCACCATGGAGGTCCACACATTCGCCACAGGCTAATAACCCACATATAAATCAACAGAAGCAAATATAACCTCCAAAATTATAAACACCGCTCATGTGTACGGCAGCTTTAATAACATATATATTTACATTTTAAATTAAATGTAACCTAGTAGAAGTTTAATTGAATGAGTTTACTTTTAAAACATTGTGTCGAATCGGTGGCGCTCCTTCACAGTCAGCAGAACAAGATGGCGGTCCCTACGAAACAGTAAGTTGCAAACATGCTAACGCGTTTATTATCGTGTGTGTGATTGACCTCAAACGATACCCGTGTAACCTGTTCGGGGTTATAGTTATAGTGATGATGAAGGACTTCATTTACTGTAGCAGCCGTGGTGTTACAGCTCAGGGGGTATTTGGTAAAACGGCGGTTGCCCCTGTTGCTAGTTAACGATATGCTAACCTCGCTTACACATCAGCTAGGGCCCGTTTTGTTTATTAAAATGGTTCAAATGTTCAGATTTATCATATTTAATCAATAGTTTATTCATCTTTCGACATACAGACCGTCAGGGAGTCTGTGGAACTTTTAAAGCTTTTTAAAGGCTGCAGTTAATGTGGTAGATTTCGCACAGGTTTTTATTGTGTTTTTTTTCTTTTTTTTTGGTGCACGACTTACTGCACAGTAGAAGGTGTGTTTAACCTTATATTTGCATAAAGTCACCTGTCTTAATATCATTTTATTCCATCTTTTAAATAGGGCTTGTCATTGGAAAATGGAAACCTGACATGCAGTATTTGAAATATATATATATATATATATATATATATATATATAGTGCTGTGATATGAACTTTCAAAATAATCTATTAATAGCAGCATAGCAAGACAAATCTTTAGTCCTCACTTTCCACACACTCACTGTAAAAACACTCCACTTTAAGGTCATTTGCCTCTCATTCAAATTGCTGCTTTATTTGTAGTATCAGAGACGCCTTTGCATTTGTCCCAGCAGAGACTTTTCTTGATGAATTACGACATGTGAAGGTTGTACATGTGACATACATGTACAGATAAGTTTTGCAGGACGGCGTTTAAGAAGTCCTGTTTGTCCACAGGTATGGGCTCATCCTGCCGCAAAAGAAAGGAGCAGCAAAGACGGCAATGCTGCAGAAACCCTCAGTATTCGGGGATGACTCAGATGATGAGGTGGGTAAACTTTTAGATTTGTTATAAGCAGGGCTATATATTTTTTGTTTTGTCACTCACCAATCACTGGATATGATTCAGGTATTTTTACAGAAATTAAACAGATTTCTGGAAAGTAAATGATTTTAAAAAGCCATATCCAAGTATCATAAGTAACATTTAACAGACTTAAGTCCAAATATACTGATTATGTTTTGTTATGTTTTGTTTCTCAGACCTCAGTTGGGGAAAGTCTGCAGAGAGAAGCTGTCAAAAAGAAAATGATGAAGCAGGTGAGAGACTTTAGTTTATTTAATGCTATAAACACAGTCATTCCACTGTAACTTACATTTCTCTGGTATTTGTCTTTCTCTCTCTTTGTTTAAAGACACGTTTGGAGATGCATAAGGCCCTGGAACAGGACAGCACAGTATATGACTATGATGCAGTGTACGACGACATTCAAAACCAGAGACTTGAGAGCAACAAAAAGATCCTGCGAGGCGCTGACAAAAGGGTAATCATGCTCATATCGAACACTTGTATAGTTACATTTGTCAACGTTGGGATTTCAGAGTGATCTAATGGCTAGAAAGACTGTCCACTTGGCCCCTGTCGGCCAGCAGGCACTGTGCCTGTGCTATGGTGCTGCTGTTTCACTGATGTTGAGCGCTTGAACTTCCTCATGAATATTAACTTAATAAAGGTTTTTGTCCCTGTCTCTTTATTTCAGCCGAAGTATATCCACCAGTTAATGAGAGCAGTCGAGGACCGCAAGAAAGAACAAGAACGAAGGGAAGAGAGGAAGATCCAGAAGGAAAGAGAGGCGGAGGGAGAGCAGTTTGCCGATAAAGAGGCTTACGTTACTTCCGCCTACAAGCAAAAACTGCTGGAGCAGAAGGAGGAGCAGGAGAGAGAGAAGAGAGAGGCAGAGATGGAAGGTTAGTCTGATACTTTACAACTATTTTTAGGCTGCATGCAGATACGATTTTGATGCAGAAGTGATACAGCGAGACCACTTAATGCGACACAATGTAAATGATTTGTTTGAATTATTTTTGTTTTGTGTAGCTGCTTTGGATGTGAAGAAACAAAAAGACCTGAGCGGCTTCTACCGCCACCTGCTGAATCAGACTGTAGGAGAGGAGGCGATACCCGATCGCTCAGCAAACAAGTCAGTCCTAGCTCCGCATTACTTGCTCATCCATGAACACAACAAGCACACACATATTTTTAGAAACTATTCTGAGCCTTTAATTGTGTCTCTCTGTTCCTCCTTCCACAGTACTCAAACCTCAAAGGTTTCAAAAGACACAGAGAGGACTTCACCTGTGCCCTCATCTACATCCCACGACAATATCCAGAGTTCATGCAGTGACATTGAGGAGGGGCAAGAGCAGAAGTCTGGGTTTAGCAAGCCTGCAACAGTCTCTGCACACTCAAAACGCCAATACAGACAGAGGTCACCGTCATCAGGGAGTGGAGAGGAGAAGGTGAAAGAGAGGGAGAGAGACAGACATAAGAAGAGCCACAGAGATCAAGACAGAGACAGAGACAGTAGAAGAGATAGAGACAGAGATAGAGACCGAAACAGGGGAAGGGAGAGGGATGACAGATACGGAGGAAGAAGAGACGACAGGGATAGAAGGAAAGACAGGGACAGAGACCGAGACAGAGGCAGGGAAGATGACAGAAGCAGAGGCAAGGGGGATACAGAGAGGGAAGACAGGCACGGAAAGAGGGAGAGGAGCCCCAAAGAAAGAGAGAGGGATAAGAATGGGGAAAGAGAGAAGAGGAGGAATCCAGATGAAGACAAGCGGAAGGACAAAGATTGGGAAGAAGAGAAGGAGAGGAGGAAGGAACCTGAAAATGAGAAGGCAGTGAAGGAAGAGAAAGATCCGGATAAGAAAGAAGCAGTGAAAGAACAAAGTAAGGAAGGAGATGGACAGGGACAGGAAGGTGAGGAGAAAGAGGAAAGGGAGGAGAAGGCGAACAAGTTTGCGAAGCGCAGCACAGATCAGACTGTGTGTTCTGCGAGAGACCGGTACATGGCCAGACAGATAGCACGCTCGGGCTCTAAGACCTATATAGAGAAGGAGGAGGACTGAGGAAACACCCTTGAATTACACACAGCCTTTATCTCAATTTAGAGGATAAGGCTATTATTATTATTATTATTATTTTATTTTATTTTGTCAACAAATCCCATAAAACACCAAAACCGACAATGAGTTAGTTACTTCCTGTCAGTACGGTCTTTGACTTCCCTACCATTGGATCCTTATGAAGAAATCTTGACAACTTTACAGCATTAGAACAGTGTATGTGTTCTCTATGTGACTCTGTGTATCTGATTAAAAGTAAACTACAGTACCCATGTTTTTTGTAATGAAGGAACATGTCTACTAGGGTAATGGTGAGGCATATTAATGTATTTTTAATAATTTTGGACAAAACAGGTCTGGGGGGGGGGGTCTTTAAAAGGTCTAAAATCCAACTCATCTGACTTTTAGGCCTTAACACTTCTTAAACATGATTGACATGATGATGACAAAATTGATTAGATTGATAAAGTTAATGTTACTTGTATAAAGTTGCATTTTTGGGGAAAGTATTTCATGCTGTAACAAAATCCTTCATATACTTCATACAGTTTTTCCCCAGTATGGATCTAAAATAGGTCTTAAATTACATAGAAGCCCTGCAACAGTAGAGGCATTTGGTATAGAAGAGTATGTCGGGCTTCTGACTACTTATCAGTCGGATCGATTCCTTGTTGGTTTTCATCTTTTTCGTGGGATTTGTTGACAATAACAAAAAAAATATTGTAAATTGCAAACCTTATCCTGTAACCAGTGACTCCGTCGTACGCTGCAGTGGACAGATTCAGACAGCAGAGTGTACTCATGGTCTTCCGTGACAAGACAAAGACCTGGACAATATTGTTTTGGGGAATTGAATATGTGGATCTTTGATTTAACATTGTGAAATAAGAACACTGACTTGTAAATATGAGTTTTGAACCTCTTGAAACATCACATAAAGGAATGCGTGTATATATGAAATGCTATCTTATTGCTTCATTTGGAGGATGAATGAATGGAATGAGGTGTGAGACACTGATGTTGTGTTTGATCACTTTTGTTGAGGTTTTATATCTTTCTGATGTAGTCAGGGATGAGTTAATAAAATAATTTCTGGTCCACAATCTTTTTCTGTTGCTTCCTGTTTGTTCTGCAGTCATTTGGTGTTTTGTGGTAAAATGTGTTCAAGAATCAAGATTTCCAGCTCATAATTCAGAAGGTAACAACGTTTATTTCACAAGGATCGTTTGATCACAGAAACGTGTTACTGGTTTACAGGTTTTGCACAGGAAGGACATGAATTTCGAATCGAGCAGTGTTTGCAGGAATCTTCTGTCGTATGTGTCCTGCGCTCCTGTGTTGGTTTTGCTCTAGTTGTACAAGGAGCTGCTGGACCACTGAAACAAAACATTTTGTAGAATTGTTAGGATTTTAAATGCTTTTAATGACTTATTCAATGGTGAAATGTAACCAAATGCATTTACTCAACCTTACTTAAAAGTAATGAACTTACAACACTACATTTCAGAGGGAAATATTGTACTTTTTACTTAACTACATTTCTTTGACAGCTTTAGCTATTAGTTCACTGGTTAGAAATATATGCTGTGCTTAGAACACGATGCATTGTTAAAACTATAACATTAAAACGCAATTTTTACTGAATGCATCATTAAGAATAATCCAGTAATATACAGTATAATAGTAAAGCACTCGCAATGCGATTCTGCATTATGATTACTTTTACTTTTGCTCTTTTACATCCATTTGAATAATAATACTTTTTTCAATGCAGGACTATTATTATTATTATATTGCAGCATTGCTACTTTTACTTCAATATTTTTGCCACATGTTTAAGCATTTTGTAAGTTGGATGTCTTGAGATACAAAAGAATACATCTGGCATTAAGTGGAAATAGACTTACTTCCTCCCAGGTCATGTGGATCACTCCATCTGTTGACTTGTCCTTGAAAATACCTGCAAAGAAAAATCACTTTTTGTAATGCAACATAACCGTTCTAAAAAGGAGAAATACTCTATAAACTATGATTCTGATACCAAGCTTATAATTTCTCAAAATTGGATTGTAGGTTTAAAAGTGATCCGATTGGCTGTTGCCATGTCACTCACTTGATGTCTTTTCCAGGCGTAACAGGAGAACGATGAAGCTGTCCATGGTGGTGGATGAGAAGCCAGAATAGCGGAACATCATCAGCCTCACCATGCCGTCGTTCACGTCCATTCCTGGTACAGACACAAGTACTCCAGTTACAATTGTGAATATGAATAATGTTCCTATGTCTTGTATTGGTATAAGCTTATCATTAACTTTTAGTTTAAATTAATGCAATGTTTTACCTGCAGCCTCAATTGCCCTCTTGAGCTCATAGTCGGACAGGGATCCATTCTGATTCAAATCTGTGCGATGGAAGAGTTTCTGCAAAGAAGATTAAACTACATTTAAAACATGTGTCTGTTTTTTTATTATTAACTGAACATCAGAGACAGTGTCTTGGCAAAAAAAACCCTGAAAATTCAATGAATTAGTTGTAATATGTCTTACCTTGTATTCATTCATCTTCTCCCAGAGAGTTGAGAACTCAGAGAAGGACATCGTCATTCTTCGGTCGGTCTTTGCATGTTAAGGAAAAACAACTTCAGATCTGATCAGAATGTTATGATTTCATTTTGACTCTTTGCCACAGTAACATAGGGTGATTTGTGAAGTAAAACAAGCTTAAACATTTTTCACAACAATTTTTCTTTTTGGATACATCCACCAAGGCCATCATGCTACTGCAGTTGTCCAGAGCAAAGCCGTAACGGGTTCCTGTGAATGGTACACACAGAGGACAAAGTAACATGACTGGTTGTAAAACTGTATAACGATTTGTGAGTTGTGATTATTAACAAATGAATTATTGTTTTGAATTAATTTTGAAATGATATAATGATATCAATCAACTCACCATGAGGGAAGTTTTCATTCAGGAGCTTCTGGAGCTGTCTGGCGTTCAGCTCACCATTCTGCCAACGGACACAGAAACAATAAAAACTCTCTTTGATCCATTGATATCAGAAAAAGGAAAAACTGAGACAGGTAAACGCAAAAAAAATAACACACCTGATCAGCATAGCGGTTGAGCAAGGCACGCATGGGGTCCTTTTCCTTTTCAGTTGGTACCTAAAGTTGACATGTGAATGTTAAAGTATTTGCTCTCTCTAACTTACAGCTAAAGTAGGCACTACATTATTTTATTTCATACCTCGGGAAGAACTAAGTTGTCCTTTTCATCTTTATGGTCATGGTCATGGTCATGATCATGATCATGATCATGATCGTCATCATCATCATCATGTCCATCATGGGGGCTGGATACAGTGGAGAATGTGTTAGAAATCTGCCTCCTACACCCACAGTCACTTATTATTTGCTGTGTCATTTCAGAATATCAGATATCAGCCCCAGTTTTTACATGAATCCATTTGTGTTGGCTGAAAAATCAAACACAGTGGAATCAGCATAAAAAATAACCACCATATGTACATTTGTAGAATGGAAACCCTGCTTGCTAAAAACATGACCTCAGTATCCTAAAAGAAAGCTTTGACTCTGAAATTGTGAAAACCATAGCTTTAAATGGTAATCAGGTCAGAAGTTCAAAATTGCAATCCCTGTTTTGGGAAGGGGGTCTCCATTGGGACGTGTAGTATATGTCAACTATCAGTAAGTCCTTACGTGATCTTAGCCTCAGACTTGGAGTAGACAGTGAGAACGAATTCTGCACTCATGTTGGGCTTCATGGTGGAGGGGACGATCACATACTCTCCTGGCTCCATACTGTGATTCTCAATCAGATCCCTCTCATAGGTGTATTTCTGTGCATCCTTCACAGGTCTGTTTGTTCTAAAGAAGTCGGCGGGCAGGCGTCCTCGTGGAGACTGTAAAGAGTATGAATCTTATTTAATGTAAATGAAATTGCTTCCTGAGCACTGAATTAAATTGTTCAGGTTATTTTAATGTGGAATTTGCATTGTGTGCACAGGTATGAAGAGTGTGATATTTGCTCTTACCCCTGGTGGAACCTGTTGGATGTGAAATGGAGAGAAAAATGTCATTATACAGTTTTCAAGTCAGTCTTGTCACAGAAATAGCCAAACAGTGACCGTTAATTTCGTAACAGAGCTCAGGTGTCCTCCCAGTTAAATAAGCTGTAATTAGTTTTTTTGTTGTATGTAATTCTTTTGGTTTACATAAAACTTTTTTTTTCTTACGTGCGCCATAATTTTCATACTTGCTGAAATGCATTTTGCATTATTCAATCATTGTTTAATATTTAATGAAAATTCATGGTGCAAACCTTGAAGATGGTGAGTCCAATCGGGTATGATCTTATCGATTTGCGGTTCTGCTGCAGAGGTTTCTGCATCAGAGAGAGCAAGATGTTTTTGTCTTCCTGCTCCTTCTCGTCTATTATTGTCACCTGGATGCGATACTGAGGATTTGTGGCAAAGGAGGCTACAGGTGATGGGAAACAGTAGAAAAGCAGATGACACTTCAGATGGCAGTTCAGTGCACACATAACAGGAAAAAGACAACAAACATCTTCCCTTTGCAGTTATAGTTAAAGCCAAAAGAATGAATTGGGCTTACATTCGTTAACGTTGCCACCTGCAGATCTCCCGGCTACCCAGCTGCCATCGTAAATCATGCATTTCCACTGGCAGGTGAGGTCTCCGTCAAGGAAGTTAGGGTTCTCACAGCAGATGGACAACATCACAAAGTAGTGACAGAAGTCCTCCAACTCCATCCTGACAGCAAGAGACAAAATGTCAACCACTGGGACAGACCCTGCAGTCCATATACTAACTTAAGAAGACAAACAACTATATGGCTTTTAGTTCTACTGTTTGTTCAAACTTCATCTATGAAGAATAAAATGTTTGCTCTTGTCCATTCATTTTCAGACCTCACTGTTTATAGGTATCCAGTTTAGTTTTTGACCACTAGTAGGACTATGGGCAATGTTTTTTATGACAAGGAAGCGCATGTGGTAATTAACACACCAGGAAAAATAGCAGTGAGCAAATTGCAGGCTAGGTAAAGAGGATGTATGCGTTTGTTTACAACAAAACTTCCCACGGTACTGTTATTGTAGCTAAATTACCAGAACTCTCCATCGTCACGGACAGAACACTTCTCGCGATCTTCTGGCCTCACTTTCTGCCACAAATCCGACCTGAGCACAGGAGGAAAATATATTATAGACATAAAAATAAACAGTTCTTAATTGTAGTACTAATTGTAGTAGTGTGGGTTTTATTGCTATAACATGTATGATTAATTTCAGTACTTGTCGCTCCACTTTCCGTTCCACTCTGTTTGGCCCCAAGGGTTCATGACGCGCACCAGCTTCACTTTGGAGCCGTAATACTCAACCTAAAGATAAAATTATGAATTGAAACATGAGCAAATACCAAAATACTGCTGGCAAAATGTTGCCAGCATTGAAACTCCTACAGCTCTTGTTTTAATTCTTCTCCTCAGTTGCCATATATTTACCTCAGTGACTGCTGTGACAGAATAGGCATGTGCGTCCACCAATCCAGTGTGAGCTACAGTGTTCACCAGCTTACCCTGAAACAGACAAAACAGTTAAATCACCCCAATGAGTTTGATTTTTTTTTTCTTCTTCTAAGAAATTGGTTCTTACCCCTTTCTGGCCAGTCCCACAGCAAATCATTGAGTTGCACCCGGTGGCATTGCTCAGTGACTGCCACAGCTCTGTATCATGGTTTGCAGTGTGGACCTCCCTGAGTTGGTAAGTCATGTGGACGCCTCCACTGAAATCCTTGCAGGCCTCTGATGGCAGCCCAGCGTTCATGTCTGCGTATGAACCACACACTCTGAGGCAGACAGAAGAAAAGATGAAAATGCTGCCAGAAACCCTTCCTCTATGGTGAGTTTAGCTTATCTAGTATTTGTGTCTTAATGTCTTGATTCTGGTGCTTGTGCCACCTATTGAAGTGTTTTCTATAAGGGTGTGAGTAAGTCGGTTTCGTACTTGGCATATGCTTTCTCCAGCAGAGGAACCCAGAACTCGTTTCCCCCCTTGGCGTGCACAGACAGCAAACGGTTGTCCAGTGTTGGCAGGTGGTCGTCAATGACAACATCAACCCACTTGCCAAACCTCCAGAACTGACACAGAGAAGATGAGAAGGAATTACAAGTTAGTTGAAGACCAGAATGTATTGTGAAAGCATTGTTTTACCTCATTTATATATGATTATTAATATTTCTTTACCCTGAAGTGAAATATCCCTGCATAGTTGTTGAAGGACTGGTCCATGGGCACAACCTGCACCATCAGGCTTTTATGGAAAGTCAGTGCAGAGATTGCTGCCAGAAACCAGCAGTTACCTGGTAAATAAGTAAAGAAAATATTTTTCTCACATAGTTCAAACTTCTACCTAAGCAAGGTATTCATCTTTTTTTGCCTTTAGCTATAAGCCAGAGATTCTTTCTTACCCACACCGCCTTGACCAAAGTCAAACCGTGAGGCTCCACTTGTGCAGAAAGCAGGCTCGCTGTCAATGTTTTGGAGTTTCAAGATTTCCTGAACAATACAACAATCAACAAAATAAAATCAGAAGTAGACAAGGCATGTAAAAACATTGCTAACATCACAATGTAAAAATGTATATTCCCATTATCTTTTATCATTAGATTGACATGAGGGAGAAGAGATATATTCTGAAGTATTTTACTGCTGGTCGAAGCCATTTGACTTTGTCTTCACGCCAGCTGCTCAGATCAGGCAGGTCACCCAGAGAGCGGTTGTCAGGTGGGAAGGTGTTGTCCACAAACTGTCTCCTTCTGCGGAGGTAGCTCTCTTTCAGCTGGGTGTAGTCCTGGTTGTTATACCTGGCAGGGTTGGAGGGGCTCCCCTCGCTGCCATCTTGGTAACGCAAGTTGATGATAGAGGTGCAAGTTCCAGGCATGTTGACAAGAGGCTTCAGACAGACTCTGAGATACAAGAAGAAAGACAGAATAAGACCATTCTGAATCTAATTTGAAATGCAAAAGCTATGTTTCAGAGATGGATGGTTATAATTACCTGCAAGACGGCCGCAAACAACAACTGCTTCCTTAGAAGAGAAGGGACTTGGAAGTGTCCACTCTGCTCTTTGCAGCAAACTGGCCAAACTTATATACACAGTCTTACATAAGCCTGGAGTCAGACCCACCCCCTAACTCCCTACAATTACAGGGGGCTGAGAGGTTTATGACTAACAAAACTAGTTTTTTTTGGTTTAGATCATTAACTCCACTCAAGTGTCACCTGACCTTTTCATCTGCTATCTCAAAAACTGCTGACATACAAAGAAACTGTCACATTTTCTCCTCTTTTCATGTGAACAATTGAGGAGTAGACTCATATTTGGGTGCTGAACTGTGTGACAATGAAGAAACTAGAGAAACATTCAGATAAAAGTGAAAATTTTAAAAATCTTATTATTTTTTTAAAAGTTGTTATTCAACCAAGGTATTTCTTGAAAAATGTGACTTAACAAGATGGGGGGGTGGGGGGGTGGTAAAGGCTACTCTTTGATTTAAGGATTAGTGAGACTTGCCCCTGGTAAAATACATTTCTGTCACTAACATAACATTCTTCAAAAAATTCAAAAAACAACAAGTCGCTCCAGGTATAGGTTTGAGAAGCATTGGTAAAATAATTTATATGAAAGTAAGAAAAATAAAATGTTTACCGGTCAGTTCACCCCAATCCTGGCTTCTCTCTATTGGCTTCCTGTTGGCTTTAGCATGTCTGGGTCTGGCCCCGAAGCTACATAGCAGAAATGCTGATAACTTGATCTGTCTAATGAGGATGATATCAAGCCTGTTGGAAAATGAATGCACTAAACCACTTATCACAAGGGTGTGCTCTAATGTGCCATCTAACTCTAAAGCTGGCACATACAGCATGATCATAAAAACAAACAAACATGTGAGTTAGATGCAAGAACTGATCGGTATCGGCTATATTGAGCTTTATTGATCCGATGCGATCTTTTGTTTTCCGTCAGCTGTCACACAGCTGTTTTCCTGCACGGAGCAGCCATCCCCAACTCCCTCGCTGTCTCTTTCCTCCACTCTGCACTGTGTGAGAGAGAGCAAAATGAAACAGCTTCAATTCAGGCATTTTGTTTATTAATGCAATGCAGAGCTATTTAATTGTCAAGCATATGCTGTGCGTTGATTTTTACTTACTTTAATGTACTTGAAGTGTGCAATATCTGTTGGAGCCATGTTTAACTGTGGGTGGCCACAAGTCTATTAAAGGTGCAGTCTAATTGGTACAGGTGTGGCGCACAGGGTCCGCTGTTGTTTTGTTTATTGTAAAGGTTTTGTTTGTTTCAATTTAAGAAACAAATGGATTGGTATATCCAACTTTCAGTTTAGACTTTGGGAAGTTTTATTTGTATTTTTACATCCCTAGTAGTTGCAAGTTGGTTTGAAGTATGGTTGGAATGAAACACGGATGGATAACATCAACAACAGCTGCCATTATTGATTTATTTATTTATTATTAGGGACCTCGCAAGCCACCGCTGGAGGTCCCTATTGTTTTTGCTATGTTTCTTCTTACTTATTATTATTTTTAGCACTTTTGATTGCGTTTTTGCCCCCCTGAACATATACGAAAAGTCAATTTTATTTGGCAAAGTTGTCAGGCCTGGTGAAAAATTTTATATTCTATGCGTCGCTTTTGGGTTGGCCAGTAGGTGGCGCTACTATCATAAAAAAATGCGTTTAGGCTAATAACTTCTGCATCTCCCCATATAGGCCCCGCCCACTTCCACTTATAATTTTTTTTCGTTAGAGCGCGAAATGTCTTTAAAGTACTTTTTCGTGTTCCTCCTACACGCTTTGTCCGATTCGCACAAAATTTTTCACCTAGCACCTGCGGACCGCCCTGGCAAAAAAAGTAATTTGAACATTTTTGAAATTTCAAACAATAAGCACGCTATAAAATTAGCACTTCCTGTGGATTTTTCAACAGGAAGTAAGCGCTGCGTGGCGATTTTGAGCTGCGTTATGTGAAATGACCGTGCCAGTGACGACTTGTCGAATTCAGCGGATTTGCCATGAAATGCCACTCATAACTTCAGTGTGCAATGTCCAATCTCCAGTGAACTTCATATATTCTGTAACAGTCTCGCCCTGAACACGTCCTCATAACTTCAGCGTACGTGGTCCAATCTCAATGAAACTTCACGTGTGTTACAACAGTCCCGCCCTGAACTTGTCTACATGACAATATTAAGACATAGTGATAGGGCCACCTTCCGGCAACAGGTGGTAAGCGCTGCGTGGCGATTTTTTTTATCTGCGTGGAGTGATGAGGTCGGAGCCTAGACGCCAAAATCTAAATATGCCATACTGCTGTAATAAACATTCCAAACGTGAGTTCGCTGACTGAACTGGCATTCTGACATCAAATCTACACATAATATATATATATAATGTAATAATTACACATGGAGATACAAAACACATGAGAGTAGCCCACAAACCATGAAACATAAAAAACACCCTGCGCATAAGATTAGATTTTCAGATTCTATATATTTCATTTATAATTAATTGCAGTATTACAAATTGTAATGATTTTTCAAAATGTTGTTGTTCTCCAGTAACAATGCTCAAACTCCTCACTCAGCTTTATTGATATATCATACATTTGCTTTGATTCAGATCTGGAAAAAGAGAAAACCCTTTAACAGGGTAAAAATTGAAGCTACCTAAATTCTGCCAGAACTACTGTAGTCCTGGACGAATGATCTCCTGTCTCTCCACACTGCTCAGGCCTGTTGACAAGCAGTTATCAAATATCAGCAGGGTCGAGTTCCAACTGGAGCCACTGAGAATGACTTTGGCAGGATTAAATAGATTTCATCAGAAGAAAACAAAGTCATGTACAATCCTGAAAGGAGTTATAAGGAATTAAATTTTAAGAATGTTCCAACAGCATCATTTTCTTAGTAAGCTGAGCTGTTATTGATGAGACAACTGAGGCACTAAAACAAACAAAGATCGGAAAGGTGGACAGGGAGGTCTGTCACACAGCACAAAGGTAGATGAACAGGGTGTAGATGAGAGGAAACAACAGCTCAGATACAGAGTTGGACTGTGGTGAACACAATGCTGACACATTCATTTGCACTGTTAACCTGTAACAAACTGTCTATATAGAGTTGCCCTTTGAGGAGATGGAGAGTCCCAAAATGGAGGAAGCTATTGTAGCTTATTAGCTGCGTATCACCATCCAGTTTTATTGAAGCTCCTCTGTCAGAGTATAAAATGTTTATTGTCTGAGACATCTGAAGCATTCCACTGTACACAATATGGCTGAGACAGTTACATGACATTACTACTCTAGTTCTTCTATGGGGGATAACTAACCTGCCTTGTTTTGTGCGCACACTAGACTGACTGTCTCTGACTTTTTAGGCAAGCAGTCATCATGGCAGTGCTTTTCATGTTTATCCTATGGACTTTATGGGTCTATCATGCCCAGAGCTTCCAACCTAATGCAGAGGGATTCAAGATTTAAACACGTAGATTGCTAGGCACAAGCCACAGGAACAGGACAGAAATTACTCCACTAAGTCAAGTAGACGAAGGAAAAGAGGAGGAGTCCATCTCAGACTAAACGGTCTGACATTGCGGCGTATTTCGCTTTCCTTAATGATTCTTTCAAACGTTCAGTCGCACAGGAACAAGACCGACAAGCTGCAGGCAAACACAATCCATCCACACAAATACAGAGAGGCCTGCATCATGGCTTTTAGTGAGACATCATGTCTTCAGACACGGACTCAGATCTCACAATCAGCAGCTTCGGGGGCACCCATCAGACTAGACAGCAACCCAGAGGCCTCAGGGAAATCTGTCTCTGTCCCCAGTAGTGTACATATACCCAAAAGCGAACGCCCAAAATGCCACACCATCTATAGAGTGACTCAAAAACTCCAGTCCCTTTCCCATAGTGCTCTGTGCTTGTTAATGGGAGATTTTAATAACTCCAAATTGAACAAATCCATGAATCTATATAGGGTGGGCGCTATCAATTTTTATAGCAAAATATGTAGAATTCAAAAGCTCTGTGCTAAAATGTCCAGATTTGGATCTGAATCAATCAAGAACACTAGTAAAATAGGTTTGGGGGTTTAGTTACTGTAATACTTACCTTGTGTATATCCATGTTAATGTAATAATGATGTGATTTAAGTTATACTTGAGTACTGATGTTTGTGTATTTTTTAGTTTTACACTGGTCTTATAAGTAAAGCATCTTAACATCACTTAGTGGTCCTGTATGGATGTGCTGACCTTGCTGCATAAATGGAAGGGAAAATTCTGTGAGGCCATATTTTGATGAACAGATTGTTTTGTATGTAAAATCAAAGTATAACAACTACAGCTGCAAAATAAATGTAGAGAGTAAAAGTATGAAGTACACTAAAAGGAACAGAGCCTTCTGGATATTGTTATTTCCATCTGTGAGTACTAGAGGCAAAGTTACAGGAGTCAAACTATGAGACAATTTCTGAGTTTGATTTTGGTATGTTTTGGTTTCACAGATGGTGCACGATGAAGTCTAAGACAGTGGTTCCCAAACCTTTTCATTAAAGGACCACCTCTTTTCTATTATTGAATAAACTAAAAACCCCTGATTAGGTGACCTATTTTATAGATATTATATCCAATGCATAACAATAACTGATAAACTGGATGTGTGTTTAGTGTGAAGGAACTGTGAATATTGTGGTTATTGCTTGTGTTCAGGTGCCATATCCTGTGAGATGTCTTTATATCTTAAATAATAAAACCTTAAAAAACAACGTAATTGTTCCAATAAATCTTTCACTGACAAGAGGAGTCTTCACTCTTCACCGGTAAATAATGTGAAAACTCAGTTATGCCTGTTCTCAAGAAATTAATTTTGGCAGTGATATAGAATGACTTATATCTGGTACACAGGGGGCAGACCCTTACTTTGATTCAGATAGAGTGTAAAAACATTGTAATCCAGATATCTAAGACCTTCTAGTGTCAAAATCTGCTTTATTTGAATGACTTTGGATGTTGGAGAACTTTTGCAGTCAAAAAGTCACACTAATGTACCAGTTTTAAAGACGGGTTGCAGCAGCAGATTTAATCGGAAACAAATCAACTCATTTCAATGAAAATGGTACAATTAGTGTTTTTGCTAAGAGAGGTTGCATTGAGTTCAACTGTGGTGACATCTCTGCCCATCTTCTTTTCTTTTTCCTCGATGGCATTTTGACTGTTTTTTTGTGGAGACCTTATGTGGTTGGCTCCTTTCCACGCAACCACTGCTTCTCGTCTTAGATCTAACCAGCCATGAGCACCTGGAACTTTTACAGTCACTAGACTGTTGGTGACCTATTACTTGCCTGTAAGTGTGGTTTTGGCAGGTTTCACAGATTTCTTACGAAGAAGGTAGAGGCATGTCTGGTAAAAAAAACAACCCTTTTTTGGAAGAAGGTGGAGGTGCGACAAAATGTGAACGTATATTGGCTGGTTTCTTCAAGCCCGAGGTGAACTAAAGCATCTGCACAATGACAACCTCACTTCAACTGCTGCTCTTGTGGAGCAACATCACATCCTGCTGCTTTGCTCTGTATCATAATCAGAATCATGTTCATTGTCAAGTTGGTTTTCATTGTCAAGTTGGTTTTCATATACAAGACGATGCATTTTCCAGCTAATCCAAGAGCATTTTAAAATTGTTTATTTAGCTTAAGATGTAGGAGAATTTTAAAGGAACACTTCATCCTGCAGTTTATCAGTCACCCTTTTCCTGTCAATCTCAAGCTGTCTTGTCAAATGAAGGTAAAACCCCTAATCCTTCTCTTAACAATCCTATAGTGTGTTGTTTGGCACTAGATCAGACTTTTTGCTTTCAATCAATAATAGGTTGAATAATTTTGCAGATTGGACACCACTTAAGAAAGTGGAGGAATTGAAATATGTGGGTCTCTGGCCTGATAGTCAACTTCGTTTTAATCCAAATATTAAATACAAACAATTGCTGCCTGAGAATGTGATATTGCTCCATTAACTGTTTCACCCTACAGGTCAGGGAAATAATTATTTCACAGTTTCTGAATTATGCAGATGTTGTCCCAGAATACCAAAGAAACAAATCTTGTTCCACTTAATGTAGTTTTTAATAGTCTCTGAGGTGTCCTTACAGAACCTATCACTGTCTTATGTGTGAGTAGTTAAATTGGTTAAGACGAAAATCCTTAAGACATTTTCACTGGTTGCAATATTTATTATTAGGGCCCGAGCACTGACCGTGCGAAGGCCCTATTGTAATGGAAGGAATTATTATTTTCCTGCCTCTTCGACTGCATATTTGGTGGCCGCAACATGCTCGTAAAGTCAGGGAAATTTGGACAAAATTCAAATGTGACAAAAAATTCACATATGCAACTGTACCCGTGCACGAGCGCCGCCAAATGGCTAAGCCACGCCCCCCAGAATCAGCCCCCAAGACCCGTAAGGCCCACATGTATGAAAATTGGTAGGCATGTGTAACTCCTCCTAGGGAATTGATCGTATCAACTTCAGATTTGGAGAAAGCCATCTAAAGGTATTCCCGATTAAAAGTTGTGCTATTTATTACATTCTGTAATGAATGTGGCATACATGATCTGATCTCAATGAAACTTCACGTTTCATAAGAGTCCCGCTCTGAACACGTCTGTGATAATATACAGTAATAAAGAGAGCACCACCTAGTGGCAACAGGAAGTAAGCGCTGCGTGGCGATTTTGATCTGATTTACGTGAAAGTTTCATGTTGCGGTCCACACGTGTTACGACGGCACGTGACGCGGCTGCAGCACACCCCAAGTTGCTTGGAGTGCGAGGGCCCGTTCATTGCTGCTTGCAGCTTTAATTTATTTTTATGTTTCGTTTTCACACCTCGTTTTCACACCTTTCCTTTGTTGCATATGTTTTGTACTAAAATAAGTCTGATACAAAAATGTGAACTCATCTGTTTGAAATCTACAATGAAAAGCATGCTTTAAAATGATAGTTCAAGACCAAGCCCTGAAATAGCCTGCTGTATAAAACTATTGTCAAATACTAGTTTGAATTATATTTTAAGGAGATCTTAAAATCTACAGATCACTTGTTGCTTTCGTTCTTGCACCCATACATCTATATTTCTTGCTACGCTACTGACACACTATTGATTGGGAAGAGGCAATTCACCAGATACAGAGCAGAGTGTGAAGATATAAGTATATGTCACTGTAAACATGCACACCTGCTGCAGGAACAATGTGTGCGCTGTCGGAACATCCTCCTAACACATGACAGTAATTCTCTCAGCACAGTCTTTATTGTCAGATTTCTTTTTGCTTGTACTTTCAGGTTTACAGTTGCCCTTGGGACAAAATGACTCCAGACGAGACAGCCGTCTCAAGAAAAATGGTTCATAATTTGCATATAGCGCTGCAGTGCAATATGCAAATTATCACAAGGAATTGTTGTCTAAAGTAGTCAACAAAGGACGTACAGAGAATTAGGTTTCAGTGCAAATCAGTCTGTATTACTGCATAATGTGTATTGGTTGAATCTCCCTCCAGTCTTGTGTATGTGTAGTAGTGAAAATAAAAATGTATTGATAAAGCTTAAAATGCCAGCATGTTTTTAAAAGCTTAAATCTACAAGGAAAATAGTGGGTGGTACTGTTTCAGTTCCCAAGTGCTGTAAAACAAGCATATTTATGGCAGTAGTGAAGTGGTCTTTGAGATAATGATCATGTTTGTGATGAGACATGTCATAACATGGAAGAATAAGATCTCAGTTTATCCTCTTTTTGTATGCTTTTAATGTTAGAAATAACAAGCATACTGATGCAACAAAAGCTTCTTTTTTCTCCCATCCTGACAGGTCAGCACATGTCAGCGTAAACCTTCTAACATACTTTGGTGAGAGTTATGGGTGGAAAGTAAGTCTGCCCTCTGGACAAATTCTTGCTAAATAAGATGCCAGCACGCCATGTCCTCTCACATAACTGAGGTTTTACAATCATTGTATAATGCAGAATGAGCAGAAGAAATTAAAGACTTAAAAAAAGAGGGCTTTACTATAAATGCTGAAATACTAAATAAAATATTGTGAAGCAAAGTCAGAGACTACTGAAGAGCAAAGAAATATGATTGATTATTATTTTTAAAGCATGCTTTTCATTGTAGACTTCAAACTGATGATTTCATAATTCAACCTAATTACATTGTAATTTGCAGCAATAAGAAGTGTAGACAAAAGTTCATATACCAGGTAAGTTTATTTATGGGGGCTTTACTCCCTCTGTGTGGAGTTATGCCAATTCTTAAATCACTGACTATATAATCAATTAAGCTTTTAATAGCAGACAGCAGGAACATGGAAGGGATACTATCTGGGACTGCAGGTGTTTTAAAGGAATATGAATAAACTGATTGCATACTTGCACATTTTGGCAAAGAAAACATGTCATAAGAAGTTACAAAATATCATAAAAGGAAATAAAGCACAAGTTTATTAAAGACAATACCAGCTCCAATAACGTATATAATTACTGTATGTGCTTACTGCTATTCATTCTGTAAATCGACCTTCCATGCATTGAAGGTACATTACAGGGACAAATAATTTGTTTGTACAAACCTGATGCAAGGACATGAATTTGTGCATGTAAGCAATAAATAAATAACAACATGGATATGTTTACTTTCTCACCTGCAGGTAATAAATCACTTTCTCGTCTGTGCTACATTCAGACTGGTTCAAACTGGTGAAGCTTATAATGATAAATGCGGAGATATGTAAAAAAAAATATATATATATACTTGTTTGTCATAAATAACATGTCACTTTAAGTATAGGTTTTAGAAGCAAGAGTAATAGCATTCATGTGAAAGTAAGAAAAAACAACACAAAAAACAACACATAAAAACAAATATATAAAAAAATATATAAAAGAAAATAGTCAATACAAACTCTCTTTGGGACATAATGCTGTTTACCTATAGATACAAATGTTACCCCCTCCTATGACATTAAGTGTTTTAAACATAAGTTTTGAAACAACAAAATCAAATATAAGCAAAACATTAGCACCTTCATAAATAAGTAGTAGATTGTCATCGGTTTGTGATGTTGAGATTTGCTTCGTTCTATGAAATGATTTTTGTTTACCTCTGATGGTACCTAAAAAGAGTTAAGAATGAAAGATGAGGATATCAGATTAGATCATTTGCAATTCACATAATATCAGTAATACACAACAGAAACAGGGCAGAATGACCATGTGACCATATCTTTATTCGCAGATCACGAATGGACGAGCAAACATAAACACTGACACTGTAGATGGTCAATGCCATGAGGTTTCACTTAATGTTCTAAAGTCCAGTAAGCAGATGCCCATGTCTACGTAATACACAAAAAAGTCCTCAATCCTCATCCTGGAACGGTGCTAAATAGGACTTTCATTGATAAATCATAGAAATATGCAACCATCCATTAAAAAATACTTGAATAGCTGAATGAATATTGTTTATTGGATTTGTTTTATTGATTACTTTACCAGAATTCTCCCTCATTGCTCATTTTCAGACACTGATCATGGTCCTTATTGATCCCACAATTCAGACTTGCAACACAAGTCAGCTCTGTTTATTTAAACAACAAAATGCTTTTAAGGAGTGTTGACAATGGTCCTGTGCTTATAATTACACTATGCATCCAAAAGTATGTTGACACGCCTTCTAATTATTGGGTTCTTCTGCCTCAGCCACGCCCATCGCTAAAAGGTGCGAGTGTACAACCACGATCCTCCCTGACAAACACATATTTTAGGCCATTCAGACTGTAAGCCTTAGTGCTCAAATCTGATCGATCAGATATGATTCTTTTTCATCTGGCTGTTCACATTATCTTTTAGATGCGGCCCATATCAGACTCCAGTGTGAGTTGACGGTCCTTAGATGACCTGCATGAAAGATGTTGATCTAAACTCACATAAAAGCCACTGATATGACTGCTCACACTGGGTTTTAAATATTTTTATTAAAAGTGGCCCCAAATCAGAATTGAAAGGATCAGATTGCATGTTATCTGTGCTGTTCAAGCTGAGTCACATATGAGCAAAGAAAATCTGATTTGGGCCACTTGTGCCTGCAGTGTGAACGTAGCCTTAGACAATAGTGTGCTTGCATCTTTGTGGCAGCACTTTAGGGATGGCCTCTTTCAACATGCACAAACATGTCCAAAAAAACTGATTTTCTGAGTTTGGTGAGGAAGAACTTCACTGGGCAGCACTGAGCCCTCTATGATGGTCTTATCGCCCAACATCAGTGTCCGTCCTCATTAAAGATCTTGTGGAAGAATAGCAAATCCCAGCAGCCAGGCTCAAAAATCATGTGGAAAACCTTCTCAGAAGAGAGGAGGCTGTTAAAGTCATTAATGACTATGGTTTTGATATGTTAACAATCACATATGGGTGTAATACTTGTGTCCATATACTTTTGTAAATACAGTGTACATGCAGTGATGAGATTCCGTATGTTACAGCTCCACTGCTCTTTACTTGTCGCTACAGTCTCCATTAAACTCTTTCTCACGCCACACATTCTTACATTTGTATCAGATCTACCTTCGCTCATTCTGTTAAATAAATCACAAGTAATGGTATGAGGCTACACTAACACATGTGGCTACAGCAGCAGTGTTTGTTATTAGGATGAAATCATTGTTGATTTTGTTTTTTTTTTAAATGGAATTTGGCAAGCAGTGGTCATTAATGAATCTAGTGCGCAGGCGTCACATGCTAACTGGACGGACAAGACCTGCTGCATTAAGTTCAAACCTGCTTTACTCCTCTCACAGCAAAAACAACATGACATCTCACCACACCAAATTCCTTCCTTTGTTCTGAAACAGATGCATCTTGAATTGATGACTGTTCATGAAATCCCACATCTGAAACTTCACTGCTAGATGCCACTAAATCCTACACACCGGTCCTTTAAGTCCTGTCCACAACAAATGATGTGTCAGGGTTAAGGTCCTTTAAAGGGTGAGAGACATCTGAATAACCTCACACAATTTGCTGACTTTTTCTAAAATACTGCAAATATTCCCACATGGACAGATTGACCTCACTGCGCTGCTCTGATGTGAACTCCTTTATTTGTCCCAGACAGTTGAGGTTTGCTGGGTTTCATCCTTAAATTTCCTCCCCTCATTGAGCAGTTTCCTTGAGCTGCTAATAGTCTTGACCTTTACATTTTACGGGGGTTAGAAGGGCTTCCTTCACCTTCGTCCTCATAGAGGGAGTGAATCATCTTCACACAGGTGGATGTCATGTTGGAGAGCAGTGCCAGAGGTGTCTGAAATCAGATTAAACAACAACTGGTCAACAGCTTTGAGACAAAACTGAACTTAACAATTGACAGCAGTCATCAAACATCATGCAAAAGACAAAATAATAACAGGAAAATATGGAACTTGCCTGTAAAGTTATAGAGTCTGGCAAACGTTTTCAAAGTATGAACACAGTGTGACAGGACGAGGACATGTGAAAGTAATTTATACTCATCAACGAAATACCAGATATGCGTCAGCATCAGCGTCAGACCTTGTACCGTTCAATTGAGGTGAAGCCACCGCCCCCATGGATGATTTAATTTAAAGGCATTAAAGGCCTATATGCACACACATACACATTGCCTGTTAATTTCAGAACTGACAGGTGGTTGGCACGGATCGACATGGCTGCATTCTCATACTGAAAAAACGAAGGTACAAACTAGACGTGCATTTCAAACATTAGATAGCATTAGGCCTGAGGTGCAGGTTAGAGTTCTATTACTAGACTATTCATGCACTGAAGTCGCCCATGCATGAATGTTACAACAGCATGAATTCTAGGAATTATTTATCTGTATCCGTACCTCCAATGGGCGTGGCTTTATGTGGGCAGGACTAACCTGAAGTTGTTAATTTAAGCCTGAAATTGAAATGGGTTAATCAGAAGTTGCCATATTTATCTGAAAACTACTTACACAACAGCCGTTGAGATTCAGAACAATTTCTGATCACAACAGTAAGCTAACTATTTACAGAACCTTGCTGTTATTGTTATTATATAGAACCAATATTGACACATTTCAGTACATTGTAGGTACTGGAAACTCGTTTCAGGCAAGTAGTGACTGACCCTGTTATGTATACCATATATAGACAAGTGCTGTTATACAGTCATATCAGTAGAGACAGAGTGAGCAGATCTACATGGGCTTCTACCAAGAAAACTACAATGCTGAACATACCTGATTGCATTTTGTAAAGTCATGCACCTGGAGAATGGATCCAAACCCCTGTGTCAGGAGAAACAGAAAACAGCTGGATTGTGAGGAAGCCCTTCATCTCCTGCATCAATGGTGGATCACAGGGTGACTCGCTTTCACCAGGACATTCAATCTTTCTCCAAGATGCTCTCTTTATTGCTTTGCTTGAAAAACAATGACAGCTTTTCTCTTATGAGAGGGCTTGTTTTTCGAGAGGAATGTGATGAATGAATGATTAAAAAACGGTGTTTAAGTTTGTTGATAGTTTGAAAGCAGCTGAAGCTTGTGGACAGACTAACAACGATTAGTCGCTTATCGATTAAATGTCAACTAGTCTATTAATTAATCACTAATTAAATTAAAAAGTTAAAATAATTTCAAATATGAATATTTTCTGGTTTCTTTAGTCCTTAATGACAGTAAACTGAATATCTTTGGGTTGTGGACAAAACATTTGACGACGTCACCTTGGGCTTTGGGAAACTGATCAACATTTTCAGCATTTTATAGCATTTTACTGACCAAACAATGATCAGCTGTACTTTCTCTGTAACGACTAACACATGCTTTTGAGGGGTGGGGCAGCACAGAGATCATGTTTCCTCACAGGGAGAAGCCTGAAAATTCAGTTTGTGGTCTCTGCCTTTTCTGTGTGGAGTGTGAAGACATGCAGCTCATTACACATGTACATTTAATCTGCACCTCAGTAAATTAATTATTAAATGAAATTGATGGTTGTGCATCTCTTTTGTCATCATTTACTGTCAGAGGTAGAGTAAGAGTCAGCTGGTCTCCAGCAAATCTAATATAACCTCTTTTATCAGCAAACTCTTCACCTGCATCCAACTGGGGAATGTAACTGAAGTCACTGTTAAACTGAGGAAAACATTACGAGTTTCAGTCACGTCTGGACAAGCAAAGAAGACCAAAATAAGTCAGCAAATCAACAGCCTGGACCAATAACAGATTTCTGTCACAGCTGAGGTATAATCATCTCCCAGTACAAACTTCTTACACACTTCTTTTCCTTCAACATATGCACAAGTTTCAAGGTTGTTATTATATGAGGGTTATTTTTAACAACAACAAAAAAACAATGTCCATGTTTTAGGTGACATTAATTTTTCTTTTAAACTCCATTAGTCCCACATCCCCCATCATAATTTTGCCCTTCATGACATACCACAAATCAGATATGTACAGTGTTCTTGCCGTGTCCTTGAATGCTTCAGATGAAACACCAGTCATCATGTAAGATTCACAAAACAAAAACTAAACGTGCATCTTGGAACGTAGCAGTGCTGATTTTGTGATTTTGTCAAGAAACCTCAAATGTATTTATGAATTAGTGATGCAGAGAAAGGACTTGGATCAAGGAATAAACACTTTAGTGGTAACTTTCAATTTGTAAATGATTAGTTATTTTAGCCACAACAACGAAAAATAATTAATTCCAAATCCTGATGATTAAAAATACATTTCACTTGGCTGGTGTTCAAGGTGTGTTTTCTAATTTCTAAGCATTTACAATAATTTTATTGTGCATACACTTCCACCAGCAGGGGAGCCCAGAACTCTCCCAGATCAGATTTTCCAAATCCACAAAACTTTAAAAGAGCAAGGAGCCCATTAGTACCCAGTTACTTGGCAATGATGTTTTGTGTCACCTGCATGATAATTATCAGCTCAACGTTATTTTATACACAGCAAGGGGAGGTTTACTTCAAAAATGTAATCCAATACAATCACTAATTCCCTGTTAAAAATGTAGTCAGTAACATACCTACCAGTACCAAATACACCAAATATGAAATTAAGACATAAGAAAGGAAATATCCATAAGATGATTTTATTTGAGTATTTTTTGTAAGACAACAGAAACCAAGATTTTTAGCATCAAAAATGTGTCCTTTGCTCAGTGAACTTTAAAGAAAAACTTGCTTTTCATTAAACAGTTGAATTAAATTTAAGCAGTAGCCTATAGACCATCTCACAGCTGGAAGGCAGAACTAGTACTGTACTGGGATGTTGTTCCCCTTTTATGCTGTAAAGACAAAATAATGGACACAGCACACGTTCATCAGCTTTAGAGAGGATACTGTCATCTGTTGGCTAACTGTTTTAACTGCAGTTTCATGGCAAGTCAAAATCATGGATATAGATCATTATATTTGATATAAATCATTCAAAATATCAAATGGTCTGTATTTATATCATCATGAATTCATAAAATACAGATGACTTCATACAGATTTATGACTTACCAGTAAATTATGTATTTGTCATGTATTACTGTGTATATAAAGCGTGTGTTAATAAGTAGTTAAACATCAACTAGAGGGTTATAAATGCCCTTTGAGGATTTTATTATGAATGACTCCAGCAGCCTGAAAAGAATGAGCCATCTTTCATCTGTTGTCCCTGAGGTGTCTTCACTCCATCTCAGTTTCCGCCTTGGAGTAGACTGTGATGATGAAGCTTGCGGTCTTGTTGGGTTCATACGTGCAGGGAACGATCACGTACTCCCCAGGCTCCAAACTGTGAAACTCGATTAGTTCTCTCGACTCGCTGAACTCACTGACTTTCACAGGTTCCTTATCCCAGAAGAGCGAAGATGGAAATCGCCCTTTGGGTGCCTGCGAAGATTACAAATGGGAAATTTCCTTTAATTTATGAATGTATGTAGAGTTTATGTGTGCCCTTGAATGTTTCTTTAATAGAAAAAGTTTGTATAAATGGTTCTTCTTTACCTCTGACAGTACCTGTTTGGAATGAAGGGTGAGGATATCAGATTAGATACTTCACAATTCACACAAGATTAATAAATCACGTCAGTGCAGATAAGCCAACATGAAGACACCACTGACCTTGTAGATGGTGAACGCAATGGCGTGATATTTAACTTTGCTGCGATATTCTTCATCAGACTTCTGCAGCAGAGACAGTAAGACATTCTTGACTCCCTTCACGTCCTCCTCCACTGCCTTCACTGTGAGACGGTACTGTGGATTTGTCCAAAAGTTCTCTGAGGAAAAGCACAAGGTGGAAACAGCTCTTACAGAGATGTGTCATGTTCCCCTTTATTTTATTTATCTATTTTTGTTTTATAAGATTTGAAACGGATTTTCAAAGCCTCCTCTGAAGAGTGACAGTATCGCTTAGCAACAGTAACAAGGCACGGTAGGCCTGTCAATATTTGGATTTAGAGATTTAAGGGGCTGTAGTAAAAGAGATTTTTCACATAGGTTTGGAGGGTTGTGTGTTTTTTTCCCCCTTTCCAAAAACCAAACCACAAGTGCAAATGTGTAAAGAATAGATTAAACCATGTTTTTTTTCTGCTCTGCTCTCTTGTACATTGCAAGTATTAGCATGCAGGGCCTTGCAAAGCATACCTAGACAACGTATGCCTAGCATGCATAGCTTATCACAAAACATACAATTCAAACTTTCAATTCAATTTTATTTGTATAGAACCAATTCATAACAAAAATATCTCAGGACACTTTTCAAATAGAGCAGGTCTAGACAGTACTGCATATACATACAATAGGAACACTGTTACATTATAGAGCATCTTTTAAATCTATGGGTCTGTCACTCAAACTTGACTCCCACGATAGATCAATGTCTCACTGACGCCAACTCAGCCTTCTTGTTTTATGGAACAACCCTCTGGGCTACAACTAAACGTCTGCTAACTGCATATGTGCTATCCCAGAGTGGAAGCTTGACAGACAGCAGAAGTAACAAAGAGGGCCAGAGCTTAGTGAAGAGCCAATTACAGTTATATGAATTTACCACATGCAATAAAGCGCTTTCGAATATAAAAAAAATATAGCTATAAAAACTCAAACCTCACCTGTTTCACTAGGGGGGCCACCAGCAGATTTTCCAGCCTCCCAGCGGCCTTCTTTCAGTGAGCAGTTCCACTGGCACGTAGTATCACCATCCACAAAGTTGGGGCTGTCGCAGCAGATGTCCATTTCTTCATAATAGACACAAAAGTCCTCCATCTTCATCCTGAAACAGTGATAGATGAGACTCACAGACAGAGGGATTAGCATGTCAGCAGTAGGGGGTTCATCAAAGTCATTTGCCACACTAGATTCACCAATTCGCATCGGATATCTTTATATCCTTTTAAATGATCAGACATAGTAACCCCATCTTTGTCTACAAGCTCATTTTCAGCTCAGTTTGATCTTTTCTTCATATATATTTCATTATGATTCATGATTTATTTTCTTCTCTTGCTCTAATCTCAGCATGCCAGATTGTCTACAGACCACAAAAGACATTTTTTTTGTAACCCATGAGTCACTCTGCCTGGTACCTGCAAATATCAAATACCAAATCCCTCTCAATAAACTGAAAACAACCCTCCAAAAATTATATATTTACAAAGTCTGCTCAAACATCGTTGATGTCCTGTTAACTTTATACATTGTTTCAGTCACTGCTCTTGTCATTGCTTTACCAGAATTCTCCATCATTTTGCACTTTCAGACACTGGTCACGGTCCTCGCTGCTTACACTATTCCACAATTCTGACCTGTAACACAAACCAGCCGCTTATTATTCGTACAACATTAATACAGGCATTGTTATAAAAAGGGCGGTAACATTATTTTCATGCAGGTGATTCAGATTCATCATGTTACAGCTTCACTGCTCCTTACTTGTCACTCCAGTCTCCGGTCCACTCTTTCTCACCCCACGGGTTCCAGATTCTCACCAGATTCACCGTGTTCCCCTTACTCGCTACCTAGTAAATAAGTCATAAACAGTTGCCGTGGTTACATATCAATAATGCTGATTTTTCCTTTTTTTTTGTTTCACAGTCAAGGTTAAACAAACAAAGAGGAATACAAAAACAGGTCCCAGTACTTATATGTGCTGTGTAAAGTACAAACCTGCATGATTCCTGTCACAGCAAAGGCATGACCTTCCACCAGACCAAACTTGTTGAAAATCTCTTTCCCTTTTTCCTGAAACAGACACAAGTTTATAGTGGATGATGTTTTTTTTTTTTTTTAACCTTCATGTCCTAACCTAATCAAACATTCATAATTTTACCCCTGTAAACGTCCCACATCCCATCATAGTTTTGCTCTCGACAGCCGTGTCCATGACATCCCACAGGTTGGATGGGCTTTTGGACAGCTTGTAGTTCATGTGCACACCCCCACTGAAGTCCTTGAATGCTTCAGGTGGGTTGCCAGCGATCATGTCTCCATAAGATCCACAAACCCTGAAGCAAATAGATTATTTAACATGCACCTTTGAATATAGCACTGCTGATTGTGCAGCTTTGATAAGAAACATTGACATTTGTAATGATCAGTGTTTTAGCCACTTGATTCCGAGTGGTTAACATAAACGTAAATGTTGGCTGAGGTTTAGGCTCAGAAGTAATTTCAGTGTACAGTGTGCATGAAATATCACATACTTGGCATACGCTTTCTCCAGCAGGGGGGCCCAGAACTCTTTTTCAGATCTGGAGGAAACTGACACAGGCACCTTATTGCGTGTTGGCAAAAAGTCATCGATGACAACATCCACCCATTTTCCAAATCTCCAAAACTGCCAAAAGAGAAATGAGGCATTGTAATTAATACAAAGTTATATAAATACTTCCATCTTGGAACAACATTTTAAATCAAAAGGATACACTGAGGATTGTTTGGGTTCTTGGTTTACTGACTGGCAGGAAACTCTTACTTTACCTTGAAGTGAAATATCCCAGCGTAGTTATCCTTGAAGCTTTGATCCGGAGGCACTACTCGTGCCATCAACGACTTGCGAAGCGTCAACGCTCCAATAGAAGAAAGAAACCAACAATTGCCTGCAGGCAACCACAAAGCACATTACTGTCAGAGAACTAAACTGATACCTTTTTCACTGGACTTTACAGGAAAAACAACAAACATACAACATATTGTAAACATAAATGATAAGGAGGACATTCAGAATTCTTCCAAGTATCCATCCATACCAACATCTCCTTGTTTGAAGTCAAGGCTCAAAGCCCCATCCACGACAAATGATGCATCAGGGTTAAGGTCCTATAAAAGGTGAGGGACGTGAATCTTTCCTTTCTAAAACATCGCACCTTTTTGATCATTTTAGACAACCACTAAGTTGACTTACCTGTGGTCTAAGCCACTCCACCTCACTGAGCTGCTCTGATGTAAAATCCTCCAGTTTTCCCAGAGAGCTGAGGTTTGCTGGGAAAGTTTCATCCTCAAATTTCTTCCCCTGCTTGAGCAGAGTTTCCTTGAGCTGCTTATAGTCTTGAGCTTTAAATTTCACAGGGTTAGAAGGGCTTCCTTCACCTCCGTCCTCATAGAGGGAGTGAATCATCTTCACAGAGGTCGATGTCATGTTGGAGAGCAGTGGCAGAGGTGTCTGAAACCAGATTAAACAGCAACTTTGATGCAAAGAGTAGAAGTAGAAGAGTTACAGCAAATGCAGAATTTACCTGTTATCTGGCAGCTGTTGTGGAGCAAAAACAAAATATGACTGAAGAAGAAATTGTGCAATGAATTTATACAGCTCAACTGCATATCAGGCATACATAAAATATTGAATGAGTCAGTAACTTAAGTCAACACCCAGTCAGAATTAAAGGTTGCAAATAGCAAAACATGTTTGCAATATAAAGGGGTGTAGGCAGAGATTAACATGGCTGATGCTCATGTTGAAAGATAACTGTCAAATCGGACATAATGACGTACTAACAGCGAGGGAGCGTTAGGTCAAGGGTGGATGTTTAGTTACTATTTATCCATTTAAGCCTTTTATTTATGACAAGCTCACTGAATGCAATGTTGGACCAAACTTCAAAACTGATGCAAGACAATTATTTAGTGAGTAAGGGTTAAATTTGTTTGTCCTCTGCCACATATTGTTTAGAGGTGGTATACTACAGCCAAAGCACTGTTTTGTGCCAAGACTCAACTGAACACTTTGCTCCAAGGTAAGTTGACATGTTTACCAACTATGGGCACAGATTTGGTGCATTTGTGGTGTCTCATGCCATTGATAAGTTGTAATGTTACAAACTTGTAACCATGACTAGCCATTATGGATATTAAACACAGGGTGTTCAAATTCAAAAAGCTGAGTTTATTTTCCATGACCTAGACATAAAGCCGGTGTTTTCTTCAAAGATAATGTTTCAAAGCTGTCCTGAAGGCATTTTAGACACTTAGTCATGTCTACACATTCATCCTTACTAAAAACAGGAGCACGACACATTTAATATTTTGCATTAGTGAGAAAATGAATTTCCCATAGAATAAAGGAGGACATCAGGAATATAAAATGACCAAAGTCTTCAGGTACAAAACAAAAGCAGACTGGTTTTCAGGCTCAACACAACTGTTTTATTATGAGTGAATACATGTAGAAACAGAAATGTCACTGACAGTTTTTTCCTCTCTACCATAACTCCTTATTGCAAGTTTCCAGCAGCATAGAGGCACGAGTTTGATGTCAGTTATGCATTCAGAAAAACCATGCTGCATTGAAAAGGTACTGAAGGTCAGAGGCACACGATTTTGATGGATTTGGCCATTGTGTCAGTGGAGGGGAAGTGACACCATTGTTTCAGGCTGTTTTGACACCAATCTTTATGTGAATGCGTTTCACCAGGTTGACATCCATCTTCAGACCGTATCCATGAGTCCCTCTTGCCATCTGAAGAAAAGAGGGAGCCAGATTAGCCTTGGAATCAAATATGGCATGCAGATTAATATCTGATCTCAGACTGCAATGAAAACCACTGGTTGGGTGGATAAAAACTTACAAATTGCTCTCACCTTGAACCTTTCTATTAAGTGTATATAATCCCTACCATGTTCCCACACATCTGACAATTTCCAGACATTGATACATGACCCAGTTTCCCCATCAGGTAGCACATCTACAGTTATGAGCCTTTCTGAGTTACACTTTGCCAGTGCTGCTTAGTCTTCTAGTTAAAAAGCTGTTATCATTTTCCACTTAGAAATTAAATCACATGACATCTTACCACATGTAGCTTGAGATGCACTCCAGCAGAGTCGCTGCAATCACTTGTTCCAGTTCTATAGGATAAGAAAGGAGGTTAGTCTCCAAATTATTCCATCCAGGTGTACTGTGTGATGCTGCCATTTCATGTTCAGAAAACCAATTATCACCACTGAACAATCTGACGGTAATTCCAGCTATTTCAGTTTAAGTTTCATCACAACAGAAGCATTAGTTGCCTTTAACATAATCGACGGATGCGGACGCAAAATCACCTGCACAAGATGAAGGGTCTTCCGTCAGCTGTTTCAATCTGGAGCGGACGCACTCTGTCAGCAGGTGCATTGTCCTGGCATCTTTAATGGCGGCTCAGACATTTGTTCAGCTACGAGAGAAAACATTTGTGATTGTTAGTTACTACATTTTGTGCATTTGAGTTTACAGGCAACAGAACTGCATCATTTAATGCTCAGAAAACCGAGAGTCACCACTGAACAATCTGCCGGTAATTCCAGCTATTTCAGTTTGGATTTCATCATAACAGTAGATGACAGCCATTTTGTGTACTACAGCTTAAATAAGGTACCTGTCAAAAATCACCTGACAGCAAACTTCAGGGGACAGGATCAGTCTGGCAGAATGACACCTGGAATAAAAACAAGAAAAATGAGAACAGACTAATGTAACCAAACTTCTTTAAGTATTACACTTAGCTATAAGACTCAGAAAAAGTGGATTAAGACAATCGTCAGTTGTCGCATCAGACGGCACTTCCTATTCCAGGTTTTCATCACTGATAAAGCTCCTCAGAGATTACCTCTGGGCAAGTAAGCTTTTCTGTTTAGCTCACTTTTGTACAACATGAGTCAAAGCACTCTTTAGCAGTATTTAGCCAATTCAAGAGTATTAGATTACATTTGTCCAAACTTTATTCATTTCTATACGAAGCTGTCTATGTTCTAAGCCAAGAATGAGAGATGTCCAATTTCTGCTTGACCAAATGGAGTCCGTTGGATTGAAGAATGTTTAATTCTGCCAACTGGAATCTGAATGATGCAGTTTTTACTTTTAAGTTAACTTCAAATGTCAGTCATTACATGCATCATGTTCACATGAAGATTTTTAAAGTCAGTTAGTGTCTCCTCTGCTTAATGCAATACAAGCTTCAACAATTTAGATGTTCAGACATGCCAAGGACAGCCTTATTGTACAAAAGGTGAGCTATAAGAAAGCCTTTGACATCATAAACGAAAAATGAACTTACAAGAGCCATTTTTAAAGTTGTAGCTGCTGCACCGCACAAGATGAATCACTTCCTGTCAGGAATCTTCAGTAACCAGCTCAACCTTAAGAAATCAAACAATTTAAAAAAAAGATGAAAAACTGCACTGATAAAGTCCATTTGAGATTAAATGTTTAGCATTTTGTGTTCAGAAAACCCATTATCACCACTGAACAATCTGACGGTAATTCCAGCTATTTCAGTTTAGGTTTCATCACAACAGAAGCATTAGTGGCCTTTAACATAACGAATGGATGTGGACGCAAAATCACCTGCACAAGATGAAGTCGGCTGGTTCAATCTGGAGCACTCTGTCAGCAGGTGTGTATTTCCTGGCATCTTTAATGGCAGCTCAGACATTTGTTCAGCTACAGGAGAAAACATTTATAATTGTCAATTACTACAGTTTGTTTATTTATGTTTACAGGCAACAGAACTGCGTCATTTAATGGTCAGAAAACCGAGAGTCACCACTGAACAATCTGCCGGTAATTCCAGCTATTTCAGTTTGGATTTCATCACTACATTTAAAAAAGGCTTCTGGATATTTTATACATCGAGTGCATCATTAAACCTACCTCAGGCTTGACTTTCCATCATCAGGACTCCACCCATTCTGCCCTGTGTTTAAGAATAAAAAAGCCAATAAGTAACCTCAAACATTAATGATCAACGAGAATCAACTGCAGTTTGAGGCTCAGAACAGTGAGAATGAAACATCGTCAGTTGTCGCATCGGACGGCACTTCCTATTCACAGCTTTCATCACTGACACAACAGTATTACAGATCACTGGCTTTACGTCACCGTCACTCACCTTGCAGGGGAACAAGGCTGCATGTATCCAACGGAGGACTCTTTAAACTCATGCAAATGGGACATCAGACTCAAGTCCACCTAAGGGAAGACAAGACAGAGTTGTTAATATGGCTACGTGAGACCAGAGGCAGGCAGTATAATAGATCACATTTATGCAAAAATTCAGAACAAAAATATATATTTGTAATCTCAGTTAAGATGTTTAAGGTTCAACACAAACTTAAAATAACCTCAACCACATGTTACCAAAATATTTAGTTATTTAAACAACAAACTATTCAATGTTTGCAGTAAACCAACACACAACCTCTTCATAAATGAAACTTGAGGGGGGAAAAAAAACACCAAATCTCACTTTATCTTTCATCTCGTCCATCTTTCAGTCCCCACGTGGCTGCTGAGGCCCGTCAGCACGATGCTGACCGGATGCTAGCGTTACACTTTAGCTCGCAGATATCGCGTTTCAACTTAGTTCGCAAAATATAAACAGATAACGTGTAGTTTAAAGAGTTAGTACTGTGGTCCTGGATTTACTGACCACGCTTTTAACAATAACTGCTATAAACGCTGCCCAAACATCGCCGCGGTTCCTCAACCAGAGAGTTGAAATCAAAAGAGACAGCGGCGAGCGTTGGCGAAGCTTTTATACTGTGACCTTGTTCGTTAGTGTTTATGACGCGTGAAAGGTGAACTGTCGCCACCTGGTGGACCGGAGTGTAAACATCAGGACTGTTCATTGGGTTTTTGGATTCATTTAAGCCTTATCATTTTCATTTTGGTTTTAAATTGTTTTAGTTTAATTGATAATTAACTAAAATTTGTATCCACTAAATAACTTTATAACCAGTGGTAGCTATATAGATAGATAGATAGATAGATAGATAGATAGATAGATAGATAGATAGATAGATAGATAGATAGATAGATAGATAGATAGATAGATAGATTGTCTCAGTATTATTCTTTTATAACACATTTAAATGAACTTACACTCAGAGTCTCCCACATGTAGGAAAAGTAAAAACAGTTAGAACAGCAGGATATAAGTGGCTTTTGTAAATTGTCACCTGGGATTTGTTTTATTCATTTTTTTCCCTATTTATTCTGTCGCTAATATGTTTATTGGAATATACCTCTGCTATTTTGTAGTGTTTATATTAATTTCCCCCAAAATACCGTAATAAATCCCCAGTGAAAGAAGCACTCAGGTGTTTCCTTTAAGTAAACGTAGCGATACCACAGTGTAGAAATGCTCTGTTACAAGTAAAACTCCTACATTCAGAACTATACTCAGTAAAAGTATATATATTATAATTATTTATGTATTAATATATAAGAATCACTGATATTAAAGCTGGTAAAGGGCAGGAATAGAGTTCACTCTGGGCAGCTTACAATTACAACAATAACAATAATCATCATAATAATACTGTCTATAATAATGTGTATCATTACTCACTACCTACTACCAACAAAGACAATGAGAAATATACATTAATATAACAAACTGTAGCTTATTTGGTGTTACATAAATAAAGATATTGATAATCAGTAAGGTTAAGTTAGTATATCTTTCCGCCGCAGGGTGGCGCTGTTTGACTGCCTTTTTTTCCCTAATTACACAGAGAATCTCATTAAATGCGCGTTTTTACTGTCTGGAGACTCAGTTCGTTGCTGTGAGCGTCATTTTGTTCTGGATTTGTTTCCTCAGCAGACTTTGGGTATCACATCCCAGATCCAAAGCCACAACAACATTTCCTTCAGCACTTTACCATCCAGCACTTTCAGGTAAACTGGTTCAAACTACTTAAACTTTTGACTCTGTATTTAGACAGTTTTTGTTTTAACACAAAGTTTCTTTTTTTGCTGTTCTCTGCTGATGTCCCATCCTTAATTTACAAATACTCTGTTTCTACCTTCCTTACACTTAAATTACATATTATCCAATGAGAAATGCTTTTTGGGTTGCAGTGTTGCCATAGAACAAGACAATGCCTTTATTTGATCTGGTCCACTGAATCATCTTCATTTTTCTGGGATGTTTATCAGGGGTTGATTAAGTTCATGGTAGTTCACTGCAAACTGTTTGTTTTCAACAGAAAAGATACAACTTCTGCTTTCCTGCTCATATATTGAAACCAACATTTAAACCTTCTGACATTTGCTGTGTTTCAGGAATAGTTGGAAGACATTAACTTCTCTGGTTTTGTGGAAAGAGTGGTGTGTGTGTGTGTGTGTGTGTGTGTGTGTGTGTGTGTGTGTGTTGACCCACTTCAGCAGCATGTTGCCACCTGTGAAAAAGGACCGGATCATTACTCAGCTCCCAAAGGTTAACAACACACACACACACACACACACACACACACACACACACACACACACACACACATACAAACTCATGCTCTGTAATGTAATTACAGCTAACAGTGTTACTATTGATGATGAGGCTATTAAGAGTCTCAAATGCTGCTCTTTGCTTCCCTGAAAGTGGACGGTTGCAAATGTACAAATGCTGTTGCCCTGAGAAAACCTTGTAACTGCAGTCTGGGGGATTTTTCTTTTTTGATTGTTTTAACTCCATTTGAAGGCTCTATAATGCTCCTCTGTGAGCTGAGGAAGTTTCCCCACCCAAAAGAAGCCTTGTAGATACAGTTAATAAAGTTATTGAAGAAAGCTCATGTAAAGCTGATACTTTGGAAATACAAGGTTTTCATTGGACAGCAACAATTCATTGGAAGAAGGCAGCAGGGATGATTTTGATTTGGGTTCCTGATTTTTTTCTGTGACTGACTGTCCCACTTTCTTCACAGTGTTTTAGTCCAAATGCAGCACTGCACACCAAAGATGGCTTCCACCCGCAGGTGAAGGCTGTGTGCCAAGTACAGAAGACAGACACAGTGAGGTAAGATCACAGAAGGGTTAATGATACATACAACACATCCTGCTATTACACTATTACACACACTGAGATATGTGTTTAAATTAAATGAATTAGGTCTGGCGAGGCCCTTTAAGTGACGCTCTGCTGTGTCAGCTGACAGCCATCGACCATCACATATGACAGCATTGTGGTGGTTTATTTAATGGATGAGGATGGTGATACTCACATAAAGTCACACATATGTAGTTTTTTAGCCAAGACAGGAGTTGGGACTATATGCAGATGTGCAGTAATACAAATTTGGTGCGCTAGTGAGCAGTTAGACAGTGTATTTGGGACTGACTCAAAACAAATTATGGCGCCCATGTCCATCATAATTAAGGCTCACTGATCATTTTTAATCGTTTATGGACAACAATAGATGTCTCAGACACAGAGGCTTTGACTACACAGAGCATATTTGCTGATCAATTCGTGTTTTCAAAGGATTTGTTGACAATGAGGAAAATAGAAAATATCACCAGACTTATTCTTCAGGCTCCACAGTTCCCTCCACCTGCTTTATTTTTCTTTTCTAAGCAGCATTAATTAACATTTTAATAACCCACCAAAGTCAACACTTCCAATGACAGCCCTCTACTGTAATATTCATGAATTTCTTGTTAATCATAACATGTAAAAAAAAAAGCAGTGAAGATTTTGACCCTCTCTTCTTCTTCTTCATTAATGCAGAGATTATGCAAAACAATACTTTGTCACACATACACACACAAAATAAATGTGTGTACATTTGTGTACACGTATTGAATTAAAATGATAGAAGTTTTTTTAGGTTGAAAGTAAATGTCAAAGCATTAGCAGCTAATTAGTGACTTGATCATACCAAATTCTCCTTAATTTGAGAGTTAAATGGAAAGTCTGTTAAGTAAGTAAGTTATTAAAAGGATTCATCTTTAATATAAAAGCCCACAGAGGACCATTAAGGGCTTCATGCATTTGCAGAATATTAAAGTTTGAGGGAGCTGTGAATATTTAAGGGGTTAATTAGTGAGAACTGATGTCTGTATGTTATTGAGCAGGTTGATGTCTGTTTCATGCTGTCGGCTTCTCTTTCCAGCTTCAATATCGCCAAGGTCATTGTGGTGGGAGATGTTGCAGTTGGCAAAACGTGTCTGATCAGCAGGTAAAAAGCAGTCATGAATAACTAGAATGAAGTTGTTATGTGGCTGTTTTAGTCTGATTTGAACAGTGACTTTATTACTTGTTGAAGAGTTCCCTTTGTAGTTGTATGCAGCTGCAGTTCATTTAAGTTTTGTTCCACAAAAACTAAAATATGCTGGAAATGTGTTACTGTGTCTGTTTAGTCATTTTATCAAAGTAAAGTTGTTACGTAATGATTTAGAATTCGGTCACACTTGGACACACACACACACACACACACACACACACACACAGAGTAAACCTGCGCACAAAGCTGAGACTCACTTTTTCTTTGGGAAAAGTCCAAATCATCATTAAGAGTTTAACTGAGTTAGTTTCAGTCTGATACAGGAGAGAGATAAAGAAACTGGAGTCAATTATACCTTCATTAGATCTCATGAAATGTCAGTCAGGGTAAAGACCTTTTTTCTCCAATAATTTAGTATTTAATTAAACAAGTAAGATAAAAAATAATTTATTAGCTTAGATTTTACATTTACAACATTTTAAAGACAAAATCATGAATAAAAACATTGTTGAGAGAGATTAGTTGATAATAATCTCTAGTAGTCTTTGCGCTCAAACCCTCGAATCCTAAAGTTTGAGTTTCCTAAACAAGTCATAATGCGCTCTTTACCAAATGTAATGCCATTTTAAACACAGGATGAGCAGAACTAAAAAACTTTTTAAATCTTTGGGCTTGGGGGAAGTATTTTCAAGTCAAAAGGCTCAAGTCCTTCTTTTCTTCTCCCTTACATGTAAAGGTAGGAGTGGGATGAGGCGTAATGTTTGAAGTCATAAGTAATTGATGTTAAAGTCCAACTAGAGAAGTCTTTTCGTGTAAGTCCCACATAATAACAGTAATGACTGTTAAATGCAGCTGTGATATTAATCCTCACTCTTCTCTTGTGCCTGTAAGGTTCCGTAAGGGTGCATTTGATAAGAACTACAAAGCAACCATAGGGGTTGATTTTGAGATGGAGCGTTTCGAGGTGCTCGGTGTTCCCTTCAGTTTACAGCTGTAAGTATGTCACTATATGTCACAGTTCAGTTCATAGACTGAGCCCTGAACGAAGTAATTGTCTTGCTGAGCTGACAAGGTCAAATGGTCAACAAGGTCTTGATTCTTGAATGTCTGAAAATCTCAAAATCACATGTTAGATAATGTTAATGCTATATAATGGCCTCTGGGCTTAATTGGCTTGTTGTTTAGACTCTTAAGTGGGCCTTAAATGACATGTTTCCTTCCCTATGCTGGCTTTGGTCATGCATGTGTAGAGTTAATGTGATTTTAAGGTTAATTTCCCAGACAGACAGACTGCACGGGACAAAGTCAGGGAACCTTCACAGCTGTAACATGGTTGTACTTTTTCACTGGCAAATAGTCAATTATTTGTCCTCTTATACTCTGTAGCTCTTTTGCTTCCCTTTTGTCTTCTTCTTTTGAGCTTTACAGTGGTGCTAGCGGTGTGGCTCTAGACATGTAGATGATGTAGATATCATTCGGTGCACCACTTTGTTCCTGAAATATGTCAGCAACTATTGAACTATTAGATGGACTTTTCTAGAAGACTAATCTTAATGACTTTGGTGATCTCCTGACTTTCCCTTTAGCGCCTGTAGTAGTTGGATCTTTTACTTAGCCATTGAAATATACATTCATGGTTCCCACAGGAATAAGTGTCTCCACATCTATTGGGTGTATTACCATGGGATTTGGTACACACAGTTATGTTCCTCTGGATGAATTGTAAAAACTTTGGGAATGCCTTAAACTTTCCTCTGGTACCCTCATCAGGTGAAAATGATATTTCAGGCTGGACTAAGTTGGTGAACATGGTAAACACTATACCTAAAGCATTGTTAACATGTTAATGTTACCACTGTGTTAACTGAGTACAGCCTCACAGAGTTGTTAGCGTAGCTGTAGAATCTTGTCTTGTGTTGAATAAAGCTGATAATTGTTGAATAAACCTATTATGGCTCCATTATGGCTCTACCGCTGGACATGACAGCATCCCACAGCTCTTCTCTCTCTTTTCTTCCCTTCATCTCCACCAAATATCCCAACGAGCGCAAGTAAAGGTCCAGTGTGTAACATTTATTAGAATCTATTGGCAGAATTGGAATATAATATTCATAGGTATGTTTTCATTTGTGTATGTGAAATAATGATCGTTGGGTTTTCGTGACCTTAGAATGACACATTTGTATCTACAGAGGGTTGAATCGCCATTATTTCTACAGTAGCCCAGAAAAGACGAACACTGGCTCTAGGGTTTTATCGCTTTTTGGTGAGTTTCGCGGTTACTTGCTGTTCCTCCCACATGCATGGAACGTGAGCGTGAGGCCAGAAGGTTGTAATTTGCAACTACACGGCTAGATGCCACTAATTCCTACACGCTGGTCCTTTAAAGCTGACTCTGATCTATTTCAGGTGGGACACAGCAGGTCAGGAGCGCTTCAAATGCATCGCTTCAACATATTACAGAGGAGCACAAGGTGAATTCAGCTCAGTCTCTACTATTACACCTCTCACCTTTGACTAAATGAACATTGTCTCTCACACAGAACACCTACGCAACGTGCTCCTTGTTTACTTGTGCTCATACTGTTTGTCTCTTTATGCTCCTCCAGCCATTATAGTGGTGTTTGACTTAAGCAGCGTGAGCTCTTTAACACATGCCAGGTAAGGAATACCCATTTTAAACAGATCACATATATTCTATACCATTAAAATGTCATTTGAATAATAATTGTGTGTGTGTGTTGTGTGTGTGTGTGTGTGTGTGTGTGTGTGTGTGTGTGTGAGTAGGCAGTGGCTGGAGGACGCCATGAAGGAAAATGATCCATCCAGTGTTTTACTTTTCCTTGTTGGTACAAAGAAGGACCTCAGTGTGGGTGCAATAAAAATGTGCTAAAATAGAGACAGTCAGTTAATTAGTCAATCCGTTAATAAATTAACCAGCAACTATTTTGATTTATTAAAATGTGAGGATTTACTGATTTTCTATTATTGTGAATTGAATGTCTTTGGACTGTTGATAGAAAACTGTATTTTTCACGTTTTTATAGCCTCAGTGACTAATCCAAAAAACAATCAGCGCATTATTAAATAATGTAAATAACCAGTAGTTGTAACCCTGAAAATAACAGTGACAGCTAGTTATCAATACACAGTAAAATGTGCTGGGTGAGCATTCCTATGGAAGCCCAGTATTCATGATAAATGAATGAATAAATTCATGATTAAGATCAGTAGTGATCTGAAGCTCATTGTTTGCTTCACCACTTTCCTCCACTTCCCTGTTTCCATTCACTCCTCAGTCTCCAGACCAGTTGTCTCAGATTGAGCAGGAAGCCATCAGACTGTCAGAGGAAATCAAAGCAGAGTACTGGGCTGTGTCTGCGAAGTCAGGTGGGAGTCAGTCACACGATGAACAAATCCTTATCTCCCACCACCCGACCCGGCTTTTCATTTTCTGTTTTGTCCCATTTTTGTCACTAAAATCCTCCCTGTCTCTCTGTATTGTTCCAGGAGATGGTGTCAGAGATTTCTTCTTCCGTCTGGCCTCTCTGACTTTTGAGGCCAATGTTTTGTCTGAGCTCGAGAAAAGTGGCTCGAGGCACGTTGGTGACATTATCAGTGAGTCAGTTTGCTCAATAAAGTCTCATTATGAAGAAGGCAGCATCATATTCGACTGTTTCTTAGATTCATTTACCAACTAATTAGTTCCCCATATCTAGAAACCACTGTATCTTCAAATGTCAGACTCAGTAATGTCGACAGTCTCAGAACTTTCAAATCTCAACCTACAAAAACCTTCATACTCAAAGTAAATTTGTTCCTATTGAAGATGTAAATCTTTTAAAAAGGGTCACAAATAATTATAGTTATAGGTAATACTACAAATGGAGTGCTACTTGTTTTGCTAGTTACCCCATGAAGTTAAAAGTGCCTGCAGAAGTTTTTTTTTTACCAACAGTGTGTCCCTAACAAACATGTTAGTGTTTTGCTATTCCTCTTCGTGTTACTGCCACCAGTGACATAATGGATGAAAGTATCCAGTCTGTAAAAAGCTAATTCATACACTTTGCAGGGATTGCCTTAAAATAATATGTTCATGTCTCTAACTGTGAAGTTTTTAGACAATATTGTTCGTAGGACAATCTCAGGGAATTTGTTATAAGTAAAACTGAGAATTGCCCGGATTAATCATTTAAACTTTTCCCCGTGGCTCACACTGTTTATTCAAATACATTTGTTTCATTTGTTCCACAGGGCTCACAGACAGCTCAGAGGCAGATCACAAACCTATCAAGAGGAAGCCCAACTGCTGCTTATGAGAGAGAAATGATCGACCTGGACCCCGGCCTGGATCCACTGTACTGACCACACGGCGACGGCACGCTGAAGGAGAAGATGCTGAAATATGGACTCAGCCTGCTCAGTGTGGATAGACCTCCTTAAAAGCGATTTCAACTAAATGCTTATTTGTGGTGTTCTGCAGATGGCCTGAGGTGAAGGTTGAAGGTTTGACACGACGGAGTTAAGGCTGTAAACAACAATAGTCAGTCAGCAGAATGAGCAGCTCAGTGTCTTCTCAGGAATGTTTGTACTGCTGGCCGGAGTCGCAACATATAAAGATTTGTGATGTGCTCGGTGAGCGTTTCTCAAAAGAGGAAGATTGTTTTCCTTCTCTTCTCTTATTAAACTGCACTTTGTCAATGCTTTCATAAACACGTGTCCGTCTGTCTGTCTGAAGCAACCTTTTCCCCTTCCGTTATTGGAGAAAATGTCAGCACCACATTTTTTCTTGGTTTCCTTCACTGGTCTCCTGTCATGTGTCTGTACTGCTAATGCGATGCGTACGCCAGCTCCCATGACCACGGTCATACCCACAACGCATCTCTCGCCTCTGACATAAGGGTTCTCATGATCTCAAAAGTGGAGGGATTGTTTGCAGGGAGCAGCCAGTTACATCTGAGGCAAATTCATTTCCTCCCTCAGTAAAGTGAGACCGGAGGATGAAATGTGTGTTCTCAGAAACCTGCTTACATTCTCTCGTCCCCCGCTATAAATACATGTATGTTTATCATAGCTCAAATATTATGAATTGCAAATACTCTTGTTGCCACTGTGTTGCCCTTCTGTTGAAATGATAAAGTTTAGAAAAATGCTTCACATTCTGTTCCCAGCTAATCCTATTTCTACGGTGGAGAAACTCACACAAACTTGTATTTACATCACATGTCCAGAGTGCCAGTCTGTTTCCCAAATTAGCATGAACAAGACTCGGGGGTTATAATATGAACACTTTTATTAAAGGGATCACAGGTATAAAAGGTCATCAGCAGTGCCAGTAACATCCTTTCTCCTTTGTCACCAACTACTGCCGAGAACCAATCACAGCCTCGCTGAGAAAGATGCAGTATCTTAATCTGGCAAGAGATGTAAAACCAAGTTTAGTCATAAACCATAATTATTTAAAACAATATGCATATTATGGGACCATGATACTTTGCACACTGCAAAATGAAACACACCATTGAATACCAGCGCTGCTTGTTTGTACTGTGGCACAGAGGCACAGCAAAAAGCAAAAAACAAAGACTGAATGCATAAGTCAAGAGGGATGCAGAGTGGCCATAAACCGCCACACGACAATCACAAAAGAGATTCAACGTGTTTTTAACAACAATATATTCATTCTAGTGAAATAGCTGCGTGCAACTGGGAATATTATACAGTTAGGAATATAAACACAGTGGGAAAACAGTTCGATAGTATCTTCTGGTGATAGTGTTACGGTTAGAGATTTTTGAACTCTGAAACACTGAAACATCTTAAATTTAACTGTTGATACTGTCTGGGACTGAATTAACGCAGCGGCGTGTGGGGTCACGTCCTACAGGGTGGCAAACATCATAACCCAATGGTCAAAAAGTCGAATAGTCACTGAACTGCAGACATTAAAAGATACAAGAGATTTAAATATGTTTGTTTTTTTTAAAACTTAAACGTTGTAAAAACAAAAATGACCCTCTGACACTGGACGCTTGACATGGCGAGGCACTTCCATTTTGCCTGTTGAGTATTGTTACTGAAATCAGCTGCTTTAAAATGTGAACTGACTTCTTCTGCACTGCCTCGCAGAAATGCAAACAACCTGTTACCTCACACGTGGCACATTAATGTCCACACAGTATTCTCAGATAGGTCAAATAAGAGTCAACAATACATTAGAGTCTATCTACAGGAGCCAAAACACAGTCAGCTGATCATAATACAGCGTGGTGGAGACAGACAGCTAGCAGTAATTCATGTTTGAGAGAAACTCAGGCTGACATGGAGGTTTCTCATTTAATTAATTGAATTTATTTTTTTGTTAGGTTTTTTTAAGTCAGCCTCATCTCTCACACTCGGTGTGTTTTTGTGTATCTGTGCAGTCACAGATGTATTTGCTGTTGACAGATGTGAAGAGTGGAGGCTTAACGTTCAAACAGAAAAAAAAAACAGTCTTTATTAATTCTGACGCATTCCATACAAAATTAAATTTCCTGATTGGCTTGGCAAAGCGTTCTTTTGGCAACTGCTCGCAAAAATCCACCAACCGTAAGTATGGAAACTGTAATGGTGTCCCTCTGTCAAAAACATTCAAAGATCAAACTAAAACCAAGCGCAAAAAGTAAAGATAGTAGGACAGCTTGTCTGACATAGTCTGTGTAGGTCCATATCCTATATGTAACTGCTGTCAGATATTTCAAGTTTTTTTTGTCATTGTAATGACTTTCTGCATGACATATACAGTGTTATTCTGATTATACAAAATACTATGCAGCCAGAGGAGTTGGCTGGAGGTGAAACATTTGGGATGAGGTGGGCAGACAGGAGGACAACAGGAAGGAAAGAGATGAACCATGATATCAGACTGATAAACTGCAGCTACAATATCAGGAGGTGAAGAGAACGGTATGAATGGACAGGAGTGGGCTCCAACTACTGGACAGATGGATGAAAAGGATGATGAGTTGTGGGAGAAACAGCAGGTGGAGGGTTATCCAGATGAAGAAGCAGTATAGAGGATGGAGTTGGGTAGGGATGGGGAGGGGGGGGGCATGTCCTATCGGTCCATTTCGTCCAGCAGGGGTGTGGCGTCTCCGGCAATCGACATGGGCGTGCTCTCGATCATTGGGCTGGGCGACGGTCGTGGCGTCATCCTCTGGGCTTTCTTTCGCCCCTCTGCCTCTTTCTCCTTCAGCCATTGCTCCGCCATCTTGCCCCAGTCCACAGCAGAGGCGTTGCTGCCACTGGCCCTGTTGGGTGGGAGGAGAGAGGGGGAGGTGGTTTAGTCAAAGACAGTGTAGGAAGGGGCAAACAGATTGAATGGCAGGCTGCTGCTCAGCCTTAAGATGATGCAAATTGTTGTTTAGCGCCATCTAATGGCAGGATTCTCAAATAGACATTAAACGTCCTGACTTGGAGGTGAAAGGAAAATCTGACAAAGCATATGAGGATTTTATGTTAAACTTAACGTTAGAGGGGTAACTGCTAAGTTCACTGGACATGAACAATCAGTTTGACTATTAAAGAAACACGTTTGGAGTACACAAGGTTGCTCACACATATTCCTCCTGTACTTACTTTGGCTGCGGTTGCTGCGGTTGCTGCTGCTGTGGTGTCCGTCCTCTGGACGAGGTGGAGGATGATGGCGTGCCGGACGAGTGGCCGTGGTGGCTGCTGCTATGATGGCCGTGATGGCTGTGGTGTGACACGTGGCTTCCGTGTGGGTGGGCGTGTGCATGAGAGTGTGAGGACTGCGGGGTGGAGCCGGGGTACTGCGGCGTGCCCAGGGCCTGTTGGCTCGGTGTGGTGTAGGAGTAGCTGGGTGTCATCATGGGTGTCGCAATGGGCTGCTGAGGTGTGGCAAAAACCTGCAGGGGAGGAAGTATTGGAAATGAGTGTGGCTCACCGAGTTACTTGAGAAAAGTCAATATATATTTTATTAGTGTAGGGAAGTATAAAGAACTAGAATAGACTATATTCTTAAGCGGTACAGTGCCAATTAAACTTTGCATAAAACTGTGTTCAAAGCGCTTCACAATAAAGAGCTTGTTGGACTGAACACAGATTTCTCAAAGAAAAAAAACAACATAAGAACAGTATCTCTAAGAGCAGCAAACAAGCACAAAGTCTCAACTTGTGTTGAAATTGTGCTTTGTAATCCTGTTCATAATTCCTAGAAAACACAAAATATTAAGCTCATGAATCTGCAGGTCAACAAATCAACTTTTGTAGCTGTTGCTGAGCTGCGTTTTCACAAAGCCTCCTATTTACCAAGAACTACACTCACATGATAAGCAGAAGAGCTTCCTCCTCCTCCTCCTGTGCTGCCACTGTAACCGTACTGGCTGGAGCTCCACTGCGCGGGGGTGGTGTTGGGGTTCTGGCCCTGGCCTGTGACTGCGGCGATGGCACTGAACATCTGAGAGGTCATGTTGCGTGGGAGGGCGTTGACAGCTCGCGTCAAGTCTAGGGAGGAAGGAATATATTAGGAAATAGTCAAATGTACTACAACTCCACTCATGCTGACAGTGTAGATGTGTGTGTGTGTGTGTGTGTGTGTGTGTGTGTGTGTGTTTGTATGAAAGAGAGTGGGACTCACCTGCGATGTTGATATTGGCTGGGGTGGCGTTCAGAGATGCAGGTGTCCTTGTTCGGCTGCTGTTGCTGGGAGTGATACCTTTGACAAAAGGATAAAATGTTACATGATAACTCACAATATATTTAAATTGTCTTAATATACGCTACAACAATATGTATAGTGTTCCTATACCTGGCACAGGCTCTTGGTAATGGTCCTTAAACCAACGGAATAGCCCGTTCACTGTAGGAAATATCTGTGACCGGTAGCGGAAGCCATCTGGGGTAATGGTTACAAACTCAACTCTATAAAAAAAAAGAACATAAAAAGAGATGGCATGTTGACATTCAGTTCTACAAGTATGTAAACCTTGTTGTCAATCAAATCAGTAAGCATCTAATAAAAAAACACTTGGCAGTAGAGCAGTTGTGTGGGAGAGTGGATAAGAATTGAGTGCTGTTGAGTAATTCGGCCCGACAAGTATGAAATGACTCAGAAAGATTAAGATTTGTAAATATGCGCCTCTGTAGTAGCTATGGACCTTTGCGTGTCACCATATGTCACTGTGATTCATGACTATTTACAGCACTGAATGGCATCGTCTGCTGTCAATTATGTTTTAACATTTCTGCTCACCGTGGTTTTCCGCGAGGCTGGTAGCCCAGTATGAATTTTCCTGGCAGATCTTTACATGCTGAAATAAAGTATGGAATAAAAGTTGGCTTCTCCCTCTTTGTCCTGACCAATAACTCCTCCATTTTCTATCAGAGAGAAAACAAGGGAACATAAGGAGATATGAGAGGTGCAACTCGTGGTAAAAACAGGTTGTGCAACTGGATGAATTACAGCCAAAAGACAAAATACTCAGGACACTTAATCAGTATGTACCTCCTTGGTTCCCCCGTGGCACTCCTGGAAGTACTTATGCCCCAGCAGATCCCGAGCAAATGAGGCCATTGGCTGAATGTACCGAGCGGTGATTTCATCCAGATCTTCAAACTCCTGCAGAGAATGGAATAAACGGTTTAAAGTGTTTAAGAACATGCAGCAGCCACCGTAACACTGATGTTTTACAATACATTTTCTGCAGGGTTAATCATGAAGCACACAATCATGCTAAACAAAAGAAGAGGAGACAACAGCTTACTTCATTATTGATCCAGAGAGTGTGCCCTAAGCTGAATGCATTTTCTTTGCCTTCTTCTCTCACGTCCACATGCTGGTAGATACCATCAGCCACCTACAAAAGATCACAGTCAGACTGGAACAAACTCTCCACATTAAAGTTTAATAAGAGCATTATCAACATACAAGTGTCCTGCTTTAAACATTTAATGATATTGTGTTATTATTTCACTGCCTGTCATATGTTACTGCCAAGTTTTGCTCAACCTCCATGACACTATGAAGTCATTTATTCACCCAGTGTCTTCCTCATCCATCTATTCAGTTTCTTACTTTCCAGGTGACTGTGAGATGGTTCTCTCCCTTGCTG